GCGAGACACTGGGAGACAGCAGCTTAAGGAGGACCTGAGGCATACAAGATGCTTGAATATGGCAGTGAATAAAAAGACGTATTTCATTTAAATGTCTGTTTTAACTACTGATCCATTCAAGGTGGAAGAAAAACAGTATGAAAGATAAGAGAGAAATCTGAAAGTGAAGTTGTATGCAGTAAGGGAGTCCTTACAGAACTGTTGAAAATCAAGAAATGCACGGGAATGATGAGTGAAATTGCTGCTGTTGCTTTTCTGTATGTGGTCATGTTGGTTTTTTTTTTTTTCAACTAGGAATTTTTGGAAGGCTTCATAAGCAATTATTGCTGTACTTAAAGCTCTGTGTGGCCTTAAAGAGGGGGGCTGTAAATTAAGAGTATCCACAGAGTTGATACTCACAATAAGAACTCTAAATGCTTAAGACTAAAATCCTGACTGTGAGAATTTAAATCAGCTGTGTTGAAAAATGGAATTTCTACTAAGGGATAGATGGGTTTCATTTTTTTTTTTTTTTTTTTTTTTTGCCACAGTGTTCACTGGTCAGGTTCCCCATGTCTGTCAGGACCATTTCATACTGTTAAGATTCATCAGGAGAAGCCCTGCAGGATATGCAGCTGCCCCTTTTGGCAGTCAGTGGCACAGATGTATGGATGTGCCTGCCACCTCGTAAATGGCCTGCTCTGAAAGTAATGCCTCCTGTTTTATGGCATTGGCCCACAATGTCAGGGGTGGATGTTGGTGGTATGGCCGTTGAGGTTGAACCTTCCCACCAATATTCTGTTAAATTTTGTTGTCATGTGGCAGATATTAGCAGAGGGACAGTCTGTCAAAACAGTATCTGACATGGCAGTGTGTATGATGCAAAGGTGTGTCTTTAAATTCCTCCATGTGGGAAAAATCATACAGTGACACTCATCAACACTTGCTGAATGTTGATGGAGGCATGATGAGGTGATGGGTGTTTCAGCAGTGGTGACAGTGGGTCACCTCCACTATTGCAGATTCTTTTGAGCACAGCATGTGGGCATTTGTTCATTGCTGGCAGAGGATGCATAGACAACAGTGGTGATTATGGTGTAGTGTTTTGCAGCTGAGAATTTATCAAATAGTGTTATTGTAGTCTTTGTATCTGTTGTAGTTTCCATGGAAACAAATAGGGGGCCTTTTTTACCGAATAGATCATCTTAAATCCACTGGGAAACTGAAGCCTCTGTATGGTTGCTTCTCTTTTAAGCTTGAGTACTTTCAAGAACAAGAGTAATGTTATTTCTAGGTGTTTTTTTCTAAAAGAAAAAAAGATGTTGCCACCATATTATTTCACAATGATTAGTAAATTAGACAAATTGGGTTTGGTCTACATGTGGGGTGTAGAGTATGTGAACAGGGAAATAGCAAGTTTAACTGCTGTATGGGATCCCTGGGAAATCGTCCATATGGGTAAAGGAAGTGAACAGAACTGGCAGCTCTTTAAGGACACCTTTCTGTGCAAGGGCTCTCCATACCCCAGCAGAAGAAATCAGGCAGAGGAGATGGGCAGCTGGTGTGACTGAGCAAGGACCTGCAGCTTAAACTGAGGGAGAAGAGAAAAATGTACAGGAAATGGAAGCAGGTTTGTGTAGCCTGGGAAGAATACAGGGATGCCGTCTGCATGTGTAGAGATACAGTCAGGAAAGCCAAGACACAGATGGAGCTGAACTTGGCAAGGGATGTGAAAAATAACAAGTAGGGGTTCTACAGGTACAAGGCAGGAGGAGACAGGCCAAGGAGAGTGTTCGTCCTCTGATAAATGAGAATGGAGAACTGGCTTCCTCAGACATGGAAAAAGCTGAGGTACTCAGTGAGCGCTTTGCCGCAGTGTTCACTGGTCAGGTTCCCCATGTCTGTCAGGACCATGAGCCTCTAGGTGAGGGTGAGAGGAGCAGATTCCATCCCACTGTAACAGCAGAACAAGTCGAAGACCCCATCATTAAACTGAAGGTATATAAATCCATGGGGCCAGATATCCATGCTAGGGTTCTGAAAGAGATGGCTAATGTGGTCACCGAGCCGCTCTCCATCAATTTGAAAAATCATGCCCAGCCACTGGAAAAAGGGAATATTACTCCCATTTTTAAGAAAGGAAGACCCGGGTAACTACAGGCCGGTGAGCCCCACCTCTGTGCCTGGGAAGATCATGGAGCAGAACCTCCTGGTTACCATTTTTAGGCACATACAAGACAAAGGGTGATCCAAGACAGTGTGGCTGCACCAAGCCACCACTGTGCCTGACCAATCTGGTGGCCTTCTGCGATGGAGTGATGGCTTCAGTGGATGGGTGAAGGGTGATGGATGTCATCTTCCTGGACTTTTGCAAAGCCTCTGACATGGCCCCTCACCACATCCTTCTCTCTAAATTGGAGAGGTGTGGATTTAAAGGGTGAAGGGCTTGATGGGTTAGGAATTGGCTGGCTGGTCGCAGCTGAAGGACTGTGATCAGTGATTCTATGTCTGGGCAGAGGCCGATCACAAATGGGAACTCTCCCAGGAGTTGATCTTGGAACCAGTGCTCTTCAACATCTTCATCAGTGACACAGATGATGAAATCAAGTGCATCCTCAGCAAGTTGAATGGTGCAGTTGATACGTTAGAGGGAGGGAAGCCATCCAGACAAACCTGGACAGGCTGGAGAAGTGGACCATGAAATCCTGATGAGGTCCAATAAGGCCAAGTGCAGGGTGCTGCACCTGGGGCCGGGGCGATCCCAGGTGTTTATGCAGAGTGGGGGAAGAAGTCCTTGAGAGCAGCCCTGCGCAGAAGGACCTGGGGGTCCTGGTGGACGAGAAGCTGGCCATGAGGCAGCAGTGTGCGCCTGCAGCCCGGAAGGCCAGCTGTGTTCTGGGCTGCATGAAAAAGGGGCGGCCAGCAGGAGAGGGAGGTGATCGTCCCCCTCTGCTCGGCTCCTGTGAGGCCCCATCTGCAGCGCTGTGTCCAGGCCTGGGGCCCCCAGCATAGCAAGGACGTGGAGCTCTTGGAACGGGTCCCTAAGATGATCAGAGGGCTGGAGCACCTCTCCTATGGAGAAAGGTTGGGGGGACTGGGCTCGTTTAGCTTGGAGAAGAGACGGCTCTGGGGAGACCTCATTGTGGTCTTCCAGTACTTGAAGGGAGCGTGTAAAGAGGAGGGGGAACGGCTGTTTCCATGGGTTGATAGGGACAGGACAAGGAGGAATGTCTTCAACTGAGGTTCAGGTTGGATATGAGGAGGAAGTTCTTCACCCAGAGGGTGATGAGGCACTGGAACAGGTTGCCCAAGGAGGCTGTGGATGCCCCATCCCTGCAGGCATTCAAGGCCAGGCTGGATGTGGCTCTGGGCAGCCTGGTCTGCTGGTTGGTGACCCTGCACATAGCAGGGGGGTTGAAACCAGATGATCTTTGAGCTCTTTTTCAACCCAGGCCATTCTATGTTTCTCCAACTGGTGCATATAATGCATGTACCTGTTTGCTTGTTTTTGACCCAGTAACACAAGCTTCAGTATTCAATCATTTCTAGACTGTGTACTCTAGACTGTACACTAGACTGTGTTGTAGCTTTGGCTCAAAAGAGCGATCCATTTACTTAAATTTCAGTGCCTTATTCTTAAAAGAATGGAAAACTTGAGTGTGTTTCAAAGTCAAATGGCTGCTCTGGAAGTTAGGTGTTACTGACCTACTTTGTAGGATTCGTTTTTAAGTGGGGAGAGGTGGCAAGGAGGCAAACATTGTTAATGTAAGAATAAGTATGTAAGATAATAGGCAGAGAAAAATGGAAGTTTAGGCTAAGGAGGCCATGACAGTTGTGCACTGATATTTGGAGAATATTTGGAGAAGGGTATACAAACAGTAAACAGAATCCATTGTTGATATGGGTGCGTCTTCAACTACTGCTGATGTTTGGCTTATTCAAGTGCCTCAGCATTTTATTAGATGAGAATGGGGCACGTGATAATACCTCATTCGTAGTTGTTGCTTTTGAATTTGACTCACAACCGTTCTGATATCTGGCTCTAGTAAGTGCGAAGATTTTTCATTTTGCCACTTGGGGATTCATTATCATTAAATAATATAGACATGTTTATATTTGCTAGTAATCATCTACTAGTCTGAAATAACTTTCTTGTAGTTCGCATGTCTATTCTTAGCTTGATAGTCTCTTTTTTCCAAGCTTTGTCTGACTAGGAGAAGGGAGTTAAGGTCTCAAACTCATCTCAAAATGCATGTTTTTAAAATCTGGAGGGGAAAAAAGAAAGCAGAAAACTGGCTAAAGAGTGAAATTATTGAAGATGTGTATTTGAAAATACAGATCTGTCAGTAGTTCCCAGTGGAGTGTATGAAGTGTACTTCATGTTGAGCTATCTTTTTAATTTTAGCTATTTTTGATTCCTTTAAAATATTTTTACAAGCATCCTGTTCTGAAACACTTGCCTGCCCCTTGCAGCTAAGGAGTGGGATTTTTAATCAGAAGTGTATGTTTATGGAGCAGGAAATCTTTGTTTCTACAGTACAAGTCTGTGGAGTTAGGAATGCTAATAACTAGGGACATCTTTTGTGATTTTTAAGATTCATTTTCTGTGCTTGAGAGATTGCCATTAATCAGTTTGCATGTGGGGTATTGGAGTAGAAGAAAAGGCTGTTCTGAGTGACTAACTTGAACAGCAGTTTCCACTATTACTATGCAATTTCTGGTGTAAAGTTAGTTGCATTTTAAACCTTATGTCTGTTTACTGAAAGGAAAAAGTGGATGGATTTGGTTTGACTATTTTCTAATATGAAAAGTTAATTTATTTGGATGTTATGCATTTTCATCTTGAAAGACCTTTGATATAAAATTACTGTAACTTGATTGGTGTTTATTATTACAGAGTATTTTTTATAATTTTTCAAGCTGTGCTTTGGATTCTACTCAAACCGTAAAGATAATTTGTAATAAAAGTATAGCAATTACATGAGGTTTTTTGGCACTAATATGTTCTTTTTTTCCTTCAGTATCTGATGTTGAAGGTGCTGATGGATTGCAGCTCAGAAAGGAACATGTGCTCAAGATATTTGCTTATATCAATTCCTGGACACAAAGGTATTTTTTTTCTTTTTAATGAGATTGTGTTGATGATAATGCATCTCATAAAGTACATACTATACAGTAAATTAAAGTGCTCATTTAATTGTGAATCATGAGAATGTGTTTAAATAGGTGAAGACACTCTGCTTGCATGATACTAAAAAGTTTTTTCTTTCTGCTTTGCATCAGAAATTTTAGGTGCATCCATCACTATTCCTGTGCTGGCAGTAGGGAATACTGAATATTCTGTACTGAATATCTATGTTTAACTCACTGAAACAAAAAACACACAACTGTGTACAGAGGTATTTTCAGGTGCTGTAGCTCAAGGCCATCTTTGTATTTCCTCAGAGAGGCACCACTCTCTACCCATCATAATTCTGAGTAATCTTTTCTTGATGTTTTCTTCCCCTGTCTTCTACCTGCTTATTTTTCAGAAACAGAACATGTAATTTTTGTATTATTTTAGTAGCTGAGAGCTCTGGTTATGAACTGAAGTCTGTTGCATTATACAGAGAGGTCTCTACTGGAAGATGATCACATTTTATAAGAGCTGCATCATTTCTTAGAGTTTGAATGAGAGAGAAATGAATCCATCTCAAAGACTGTGTTACAAGCAGATAACCTTGAATTTTTATCTTCATTGAAGCTCCTTTGCTTATTGATTACAGTTTTTTCTACTTTCTCCAGGATTACAATCCTCTTATTGAGCACCTTTTCTATGGAAGAAACAAATGTTCCCAGACTAAGTTCTGAGTTTATATGTCTCGGGTGTTTATGCACTTTGAATGTTTTCCGTATATCTAGCTATCTTAGCCCATACCTCCAATTGTAATACAGATTGATAAGTGGATTGTCTTTCCTGTTGTATTGTTAGAACAATGATGTGTATCCCCATTGTTCTTTTCAGCTTACAGTATGTCAGTAGATATTCAGAGTAATCTCTCTGTCTACCAAGTAAAGGAAGAAATGAAGATAGCAGATACTGCTTTTTCCCATATGGTTAAAGGGTACTAACGTGGATGCGATTTTTATCTACCCAAATGCAGATAAAGGAAGTGAACTTAAATACTCAAAAATTGTTTTGTGACTCTACTAATTAAAAAACAATTCTTGCTCAGCTAACATGCATGTCTTGTGGTTTAATGCAGCAGTACTGATAGGGAAAACTAGGTGAGGAGTGGATTTGGGAACATTCTCAAGAACGTTGCTTCTTTAGTAGTTCAGTGAGCTTACCTGTAAGATACCTTTTTTATATACACATATATATATATAATTTGAGAATAGCGATGTGTTTACAGGATTTAAGGAGAGCTTTGTGATTCCAACTTGCTTCTGGGTAGCACTAGCTTCATTTGGACTTTATTGCCTGTATGGGAACTGTTGAGTCACAGCCTGAACCACTGATTAATAATATGGGGAAAGGACTGGGTCAGCCCTGGGAGCACAGGTGAAGGCAATTCAGCTGTGTGACGAGAAGGCCCCATTTAAGGGCTGATTGCCAGTGGGGAAGGATCTCTGGTTGGTGATCCCTTCCTTGCAGAGTTTTTCCCCACAAGCTTAGATCCTTGGGAATGGGTGAGCGTTCCTTTCCTCTTTGTCCCTTTTGATGTTCACAGAATCATAGAGAATGGCCAGTGTTGGAAGGGACCTCATGGATCGTGAATCTCCACCCCCCCCCGCCATGCACAGGGCCACCAGCCTCCCTATTTAATACCAGCCCAGGCTGCCCAGGGCCCCATCCAACCTGGCCTTGGACACCTCCAGGGATGGACGGGGCATCCACAGCCTCTCTGGGCAGCTGTTCCAGCACCTCACCACTCTCCTAGTAAAGAACTTCCCCCTGACAACCAACCTAAATCTTCCCTCTCTCAACTTGAAACCCCCCCCTTGTCCTGCTGTTATCTACCCTTTCCAAGAGTTGAGTTCCATTCCTGTATTGCTTTTCCACCACAGTAATCTTTCTGACTGTAATATTGCCTTTATGGGTCAGTCAAATATTTTGTTGTTAAAATAGTCTTAATGTGCAGACTCCTTTTTGTCAGTCGTCTGAACATTCCAATTTGTCCTTCTTTTTTTTTTTTTTTTTTTTTTTACTTTTAACTAAATTTTGATAGAGTTCAGTCTGAATGAGATTTTTTCAGCTATTTCAGGAGATTTTATTTTATTTTTTCTCTCTTATTACAGGCAATGTCTGTGCTGTTTCAAGGAATATAAACATTTGGAGATCTTTAACCAAGTAGTATGTGCGCTTATTAACTTGGTGATTGCTGAAGTTCAAGCTCTGCGGGACCAGCTCTGTAAACATTGCACTATTAATATAGATTCAGCATGGCAAGATCATAGTAATTGTGCTGATGAACCCCTGAATGTAGAAAGAGACTCTCATGACGAAGAAGATAGAGAACGGCAAAGATCTATAGAGAAAAAAATAGATTCTGCAAGAACTTGTATCCTGACTGAGGAGTCATCTACGAAGAGCATTGACGGTTTTAGCTGGAGCATTGATGAGAAGGAGAAGTTGTTGCTGTGTGTGGCAAAAATCTTTCAGATTCAGTTTCCTTTGTACACTGCTTATAAGCATAATACTCATCCTACAATAGAGGTATGTTTTATCTTGATATGTGTATTTAATTATCTTGTGATAGAGTGTGTGTTCTTACCAGTCTGTGTGCTGATAGCTACTTTTGCACAGGATGAGCAAATTCAGGTCTCCTGTTTACTTCAGTAGGACTTACAAGAAAAAATTTTTAAATGACATACCCTTGCACTTTCTTTAAAATGTGCCTGATTGTTATAGGTAACATATTGGTAAGTGTTGTATGGAATTGTACACTGAGTTATTGTACTGTTTAAATAACAGAAAGGCAAAAAGGGAACTGTAGTGAAGCCTTTCTTCCAGCAGGTAACCTATTAATAGTTTTCATTATAATCTGTGCTTCTAAAAGCAGACTGTCGTAAACTAAACTCTGTGCAAGCCCAGACTTACTTGTTAGAATAGCTGCTTAGTTGACTGGAATAACAAAGTTTTGTACAAGTAGTTTGTTCTGTAGGTGTGATTTTTCTCTAAGGTATTTGAGGATTCTCTACTGCTAACTTTTCTGTATTTTATTCTGAATGCAAAACAGCAACAGCAAACATAAAACACTTTCAGACTCTTGGAAGTGTTCCGGAGTAGGTATTTACCTGTTAGCATCTCCTTGGAACATGGAAAGGTTTAGTTATGTATATTTAGCTATATAAACAAAGCTTCTATCCAATAAACTTCTGAAAGAGTCAAAGTGTGGAATTAAAGTACAGTTAAGCTAGTCTTAATTTTTTTTTATTCATACTTTTGGAGCTCTAGAGCTCTGAGTAGTTAAGCTTGCATTTTAAACTTGAGTTCAAATTGAGAAGAAATCATGCATTATTTTTGTTTGTGTAAGCTAGTGTGATCACAAAATAAAACCAGTTCTTGAACAGATCCTTCCACATCTGACGATAAATCTAGCTAATATGCGATGTAGTTAGATGGGCAACACAGCCGTTCTTTTCAGTGAGCTCTTATGAAAGCATGGGTGTAAGTTAACATAGGTTATTTCACAGATATGCGTGAATAGAAAAAGGAGGCATAGTCTAGGATTTTCAAGTTTCCCATCATATGTCTTGGTTTGCCTTTTAAACCTTAACCATACAAAAGTATATCTGTAGCTCAGCCTTAGCAAGTAGAAACTGAAGACGACTGATCTATTTTCTCAGTTGAAAATTAAAATTAAAAAGTCAATGACTTCTTACAAAAACTTTTGTGGGAATATACAATGAAGAATTTTAAAACAAGTTCTCTATGTATGAATGCACTTGTTTCTTTTAAATGACTCTTTTATGTATATTTTTTCTTCCTTAATTTCACTTCCAAATGACAAAAAGAAAATAGTGAAATGCTTGGAGGGATTTCTTCTTCACTTTAAATGGTTGGCCATAGATACATGGTAGATTGTGGGATTGTGAGTAGCTGTCACACTAGGCAGTATATATGTTGTGTGGATCACTTGAGTTATTGAATGTATTTATTGATTAGCTTTGCTAAAAACATATGGTTTGAAAGGAAGCAGAGACTAAGAAACACTCTAATGGGGATGCAGGCGAGTGAGGAAAAAGTGCTTCTTCTTTTTCTGCTCAACTTTTGTGTACCCACAAATGCATTATAAAGGTTTGTTAGCCTGCCATACTTAGATACATTCTTCCTCTTTATTGGAGTGTTTTCTTTTAAAGGTTCCAGCATTAATTGTTTTTCTCACAAACTGAGGTATTTCTATATTTAAGAAACTCATAGTAGTGATAGCTGTTTTAATACCAAAACTTTCTGGTACTTCATGACGTTTAGAATTTAATGTCAGATTTCAGTATAGAACACTTCTTAATTGAATTGAGAAGCAAATTATTAATCCTGGATAATGGAAGTTTTTTGGTTTTTTTTTTTTTTTTTTTTTTTTTTTTTTTTTTTTTTTTTTTTTTTTATTTTTTTTTTTTTTTTTTTTTTTTTTTTTTTTTTTTTTTTTTTTTTTTGTTTTTTTTTTTTTTTTTTTTTTTTTTTTTTTTTTTTTTTTTTTTTTTTGGTATGCTTTGTTTTAAAGCAGGCTTCAAGAACTCATAACAAAAAAAAGTATGTGTTTTGAGTGCGCTGTTTGTTCTTGTAAGCTAAACAGATTCCTGGACAGACTAGTTCTGCCAGGTGTTGGTGGGAAGAGCCAGCGTAGCTCTCTTGTCTAAGTTCTTTGTTGTCCTTTGTTCTGGCAAGAGGGAAAATTTCTGATGGAAAATAGACTCCAGTCTCCACTTTAGAAATTTCTTGTTCCAGATTTTTGAGTTTAACTTGCACAGTTTGAGTCATCGAGTCCAGTAAGGTTTCACTTTGCCTGGAAATAACTAACAGGGCTGTCATTTAAAAATTTCCTATGTAATGCTTTTACATGGTATCATCTTCTGGACAAAATATTTGTGGACAAAAATATTTACTATTAGTCTCCGCTCTGCGTACACATCCAGAATCTTTCTGTTTAATGACAGAAGAGTTCCTGAAGTCTAATCCTCTTAGCAAGTAAGAGGATTAGATTAGATTCCAAAGCAGTTTTTAAACTTGACCATCTAGCAGAAGAGAAAAACTTTGATATAGAAGTAGCAGGTTTTCCCTATTTTAGATAGTTTGAGTTGGATAAAAAAAGAACAATAAAATTTAGAACACTAAAATTTAGGGTATCAGCCCGTAGTTAATCCTATAGACTCTGTCCTTAAAAAATATGGATAAAAAATTAATTTTTGTCTTTTACACATTTCTCAGTTCAAAAGTATCATAAAACGAAGATAAGTTGGTAGCCAGAAGGGCTGCATATTAACAGCAGAAACTCCATGAACAGTTCATTTCTGACAGCAAAGTTAACATGGCCTTGCAGGGGGAAGAAACTTAGAAATGTGCTGGACATAGGATAGTGGCACTACGTTACGTGGTATAAATGTGGCTTACGCTACGTGAGAATTGGTGAATACATACTCTTAACCCATATAAAAAGAATGTAGGTCAGTACAGACAGAATGTGTGCCTCAACTTTTCTTACACTTGGTAGAAAGGCGCTTTTCATTGCATTTCTGATAAGTTTGATTTTCCAGAAGAGTGCAACTGATTGTGATTTGTTAGAGGACACTTAATCTCAGGTCATCAACACTGAAGAACAGAACTTCTGTGAAGATAAAATCTGGAAGCAGACTGTTTACATCTGTTGAAATCTACCAGTGTTTTTGGTGTGCAGGAAGATCTTTGTGTGTATTTTTCATCATTAAATTCACTCTACTTTTATAAATTACACTTTTTTGGGGTTTGGGCAATTCAGTATCCTTATAGATACCACGCATACAGGGTAGTTCAAAACAGTGTGCTCTGTTCTTTAGTTTATATTTGATGCAGCAGATTTATATGTGAGGAATTCAGAGGGGGGAAGAAAGTTTCTAAAAGGGAGACACTTAAAATCCTGTAGCATGAAATGCATGAAATGCACTCCTGAACTTTCAGTGTCTAAAAAATTCTTCCAGACATGAATGAATAATAAATCTTAAGGGAGTGTGCTAAGCAGTTCCTGACAGAAGATGAAAAAGGGAAAAAAGAACAGTTATTTGGGTGTCCTTAGTTCCCTAATGCTTTGGGATATAGCTATTTCTGCTTTTTGTTTTCAGGTAAATCTTTTCTGGAAAGCTAACCCTAATAAAGTATTCTCCACCCAAGGTGGATAGACTTCAGTTAATGTATTTCTTCTGAAGTTGTGGTGTTTTTTAATGTTATGTTAGTTTCCCATAAGGATGTTTCTACTGTTTCCTTATGAAGTTGATCTTAGGGATTTCTCTGTTCTGTTTCATGCCTGCAAATACAGAAATCAGGTTTCCAGACTCAGTCTCCTAGTGATGATGCTTTCAGTAATCTTAGCAGGACTCACGCAACAGACATAAATTTCTGACTTCTAGTTTCTAAGTAATGTAGGTCACTTGACAGTTCTTTGTTTTGTTCCAGAAAACGATTGAAATTTCTCATATTATTTCTGAGTTTTTCACAATAGGAGTACTGAATACTTCTTCTTGTATACCACTTAGTGCCTTCAGAGCTGTTTTAAAAATAGCTATAAGTGTATCATAATCAGAAGGAAAATCAGTGCTTAAATATGTCCAATATGCTTCTAATTCAAAATGTTTGTATCACACTTCATCCATCTGAAATCACTTGCCTCCAGCATCCTATGGTATAGTTAAAGGAGCTTACTTCTGCAGAGGTATTTGAAATATACTCAGGAAACTTAATTTCAAAACAGCTTTATCTTAAACTTGCATTTTGGTTGCAAATATTACAACTGGATGTTTGGTACGGAAGGATAGGAAGGGGAAGAATGTGTACTGCAATTCCCTGGCAATATTGTGGTATTACAGTCATGTTTTACTATAGTTTGACTGCCTTTAGCTGTATGCAAGATCTAGGCAATGTACGTAGCAATCCTAATAAGGGAAATTCTAGCTGTCCAGCAAGTGGGTGTTATTAACAAGTAAAGAAAAGATGTCTTTCTAAATTCTCTTTAGTTTAGAATTTCTGGGAAATATTTTTGTCTTCACAACAGATAGCTTACAGATTGATAGGGCTATAGATGTATTCTCTTTAACCTGTGAAGAGTATTTAGGTCCTTATTTTATAAGGGATATTTTGTTAAACATAAAATAATATAGTAGTTGAAGTTAGGGATTTATAACATTCTGATGGGTGCAAATAATTTGATAGTTTATCACTTAGATTATTAAATGTAGGACTGTAGACTATTCTATATTTCATCTAACTTAATGTGTTTGGTTATATGTCTCATTTTTACGTAAAAATGTGTTCAGAAGCACTGAGATTAATTCTGTCCTGTAATTCTCATACAAGTCTGCAACCAGTGTGCTAGACTCTCCTCTGTAGCGTTTCTGTTGAAAAATTGGTGATCTCGAGGCAGGTGAGAAGGGAGGGGAGGGTTGAAGAATTATCTTTTGATCTCAGCCACTGAGAGCCACAGCTGGTATGTTACCCTTAATGTATGTTTGTGTACTTAGGTTTTAACAAGAATAAATTCATGAGTGTTTTCCAGTGTGAAAGAGGAAAGACTAGGCTGGCTTCCTCTAAATTAGGTGTTTTGTTTTTCTGATTGACTGTAACAACTGTTAATGGTCACTTGTGTTTTATTCTAAAAGTATGTTGTTGTTGCTTATGTTAGTGAGATGTATTTTTTTCTCTTTTTAAACAGGATATTTCTGCTCAAGAAAGCAATATACTAGGAGCGTTCTGTGACATGAATGTAAGTTGTCCATTTTTTTGATAGGTGCACATTTCTCAGAACCTTGCGGTAGCTGTGTTCTCTCCTCTGTGTAGAGTGCTGTTACGATAATGTATTTTATTTCAAATTACCTGTGTGACTGAATCACTCTAGTATTGATTGTTCAAATTCTTCTGCTTTTTTAAATAAATATTTCAATTTCTCTAGGATGTAGAAGTACCACTGCACTTGCTTCGTTATGTTTGTCTATTTTGTGGAAAAAATGGCCTTTCCCTCATGAAGGATTGCTTTGAATATGGAACTCCTGAGACACTGCCATTTCTTATAGCACATGCATTTATCACAGTGGTGTCTAACGTAAGTACAAGTGTCTTGATGTTGATTTTAGCTGGAGTACAAAGTAAACAGTTCTGAAGTCTGGAAAAATTCCAAAGGAGCAGGGAAGGAAGAAAAACACTAAAATTTTCCTTGTGGGGAATACATTCCTGGTTCACTGAGGCAGCTTTTCACTATTGGAGTCCTTTATATATCCCCTTGAGGCACATAACTAACATGGCAGATTTAGATCATTTCATCAGCCCTAGACATCAGTCTTGTAAGAGCCTCAGAAGTTATCTGTAGGAACATTTTTGGATGTTGTTTCTGTCCCTGAAGTTGTGTTGTGAAAATATTTTAAGCTGCTTTTTAGGATATATTAACTTTTTGTATATTCCCTGTTTGGCACAAAGGGGAAGCCTGTGGGTTTATTTTCCTTTCGGTTTTCTGTGGTTTTATCATTTATGCACATTTGAAGTGTAGAGGGAGCCATGTTTTATTATTACGTAGTTTTAAAGTAAGCACCCTTCGTTGTTTGTTCATTTTGGAATAATAGCAGTGTTTTCCTCCAAAGTTATGAATTAACTTTGGTGGAAATCTGAAGGAGATTGGTAAGAGAAATGAAAACTTATTTCTGAAAAAGGATTAGTGAAGTTAGTGTAACATGAATTTTAAGTTGTGACCTGTCTTGTGGATGTTGCATAAGGGTATAAGGGAAAACAGTAGTTTGCTGTGCCTTCTGAGAAGTGAGTTTACCATAATTTTTATGTTGATTGCAACAATGTTAAATGTTTAAAATCAGATCCTTGTTTCCACACACCTTTTCCTTGCTGTTACTGAACATCCAGGATGATGTTCTCTAAATGAGTACTGAAATATGTTTGCATTGAGAGAACCAATTACTGAAATAAAGCTAGTGTTTGTGATCTGTATTTCCTACTCCTTATCCTTCCAATGTAATGATTCTTGACTTGTAGGTCAGAAAACAGATTGGTAAAGCATGATGCAATCAGTTCATGTAATGTTATGCAGGAGGACTGCTAGAGGACCTCCATGTGTTGCACTGCTGCATTCTCTTCTGCCCCTTTCTGTAGGATCTGATAAGCTCTTCACCTCTAGCAGCTGTCAGAGCAACCTGCTGATGTGTCTTGCTCCAGCATAGCAGCTGAGTTGCTCCTAACCCCATTATATTAAAATAAGCAGAGAGAGAAAACGGCAAGTTGAATTGTTGTACCTGATTTTCATGTTTATAGTGAAATAGGTTCTGGTACAAACTTGAGAGCAGACCAAGTGTTACGTGGTACCAATATATAAAGCAGGAACCATAGTGTATGGTTATTGTTAAATACATTTTCACAGTAATATAAGCTCTCAAGAATTGCATTTCAGTAGCCATCATTTAGAAGATTTCTAGAAATAGTAATGCTGGAATTAAAATCTGTGAGAAGAATGAGTTGTTTAGCTACTATCTCGAATGTTTCAAAAAATATTTTTAAGTAAGATTTTAGTGTAGATGGACCAATTGTTTTTCATTAAAAAGATAGATCTAGTAATCTTCAGGAATTAAATTTGGAAATAATAAACTGAAAACAAATGACTCTACTAATAACCTGTAGCATTAAGCTCCTAGTAGAGAAAGCTACATCGTGCTGTGGGAAGGATTTGCACTGTTTCTTCTAAAAGGAAGGTGCGAATCTCATCAGGCGTGCTGTAAAGATGCATTCAAGAGAAGGCCACCAGGACAAGTTAGTAAGTTGTTCAGGACAACTGAACAACTGCTTGGTGATGGTTACTTGTGTTTCCTATACACAGAGGACAGAAAAAAATACTGAAAAGATGTTTTCTTGAAATGTTTTGTGCGGTAAATTTTCTTTCACTAAAAGTCTTAATCAGACTACCTTACTTCTGTAATGAAGCCAGCAAGTATAATATAATGCAGTATTACAGAATCACAGAATGGCCAGGGTTGGAAGGGACCTCAACCCCCCTGCCACAGGCAGGGCCACCAACCTCTGAATTTAATATCAGACCAGGCTGCCCAGGGCCCCATCCAACCTGGCCTTGAACACCTCTAGGGACGAGGCATCCATAAGGGATCTGACTAGTTGGCAGTCTTATTTTTCTCCAACTTGCAGCTCTGCAAAATGTTTTCATAGCAACATACATTGCAGCAGCACTGTTCTGTCTTAAAATATTTTGTGGCATTTTTAGTCAAATATTTTGTTCCATCTTCCTTCCCTTATTTCATATTTTGTGGTATTTGCCCCCAATGTAATGTTGGTCTCCTGAAAGAACTAAGAGATGCAGAGAAATCCATGACCTGGAGCTTCTGTGGGGAGTTTAAACGCCACCGAAAATCATTCTGATTGAGCGAGACACTATCTTTTAGAAATGAATTGCCTGTGATAAAGAACATGTAACATAAAAGAGTGTATTTGTTTTTGTATTATTATTATCTATTATAATATAAAACTTTGTTTGGTTTCACAATGAAAACTGCTTTCATTTATAACAGGAAATTGATAATTAACTCAATTCTATGAATGAAGTTTGTAATGTAATGCAGACATCCAGTTGACTGAAATGGCTGTAGAAGTTTGAATTAATACAGAGTGGAAATTGCTACAAACAATGAAACAAAATGATAAAAATCCTTAGCTACTTTTATTCCATAAGGAAATGTATTTCCTTGTGACCCTTCATGCTTGAGTGTGGAAAACAGTACAGATCATGTTATAAATCTGATAGCTTGAATGCAACAATATGTTTGTCAGTCTTGCAATTTTCTGACAAAATATTTAATTTTTGTTTCTAGTCCAAGCATCTTCTAGTCAAACTTTATGTATTTAGTGTGCTAGTTTTTTTTTGTTTTTTGTTTTTTTTTCTTATTGAGGCAGCAAGTAGATTCAGAGTTTTATTCCAAATGTGATCTTTTTTGCAGTGTAAAGATCTGGCATGTTTGACTTGTGAAATAGTTTGGTATTGCTGTTGTATTAGTTACATTATAAAAAGTAAGTCTAAAAATATTATTTTTTGGAGCTGACTCGTGTGTGATTTGGCTGATTCCACAAACATTTAAAATAACTGATCATACAGTTTTTCTTTTGCCTAGTCTTTTTTTCTCCTAGCCAGAAGAAGAATGTAACATTTTCTGCATATATAATTTACCAAAATACTTGTGAAAATTTAGTTCTTAGCCAGAATTTATTGTGTCACTTGCAACAATTAAACTTTCTTCCGAGAACAAGCATGGAGATGTAAACTGACATGTCACTTTGAGTGACTGTCACTGTTATCTATTGGGAAGAGCTGTGTGCTGTGCACGCGTTATTTAAATTATATCAGTAGTAGTAACAGCTGCTAACACTGCATCTGTGCTAGATCCCTTACCTGGCACCTAGTTGTCTTTCTGTAACAGGTTTAACAGGCTCAGCATTCCTTTTTGAAATGCAGATGGAACTTGTAAGTTTGCCAGTTAAGTAGTTTGGTTGGTCCTCTTTTCCTCACAGCAGTGCTAAAAAGCTGTTTCAGGTTTCTTTTCTGCATATATTTTCTTACTGTGTACAGCTGTGTAAAAGTGGTAAAGGCAGTGTGGTGAACACAGGGATGCAAAAACAGTATTTGAAAAGGTCTGCTTTTTCTTGCTGGTTATAAAACATAGTTCTATTTCATAGGGTGTATAAACTCTAAGAAACAAAAAGTCAACACAAGTAAAGTCATTTTTCATGATTTTGAAGTCTTTTGTAAGGAACAGAATTTCTAATGTGGACTTTTAAAAAAACAAACAAAAAAATCCCACAAAACAAGACCAACACATGGCTGAGCAGTAGTTATTCCTAAAGGAGAAGCTGCAGAAAATTCACAAATCATACTGCCCTGAGATCTTACACAGAGGTCTTTTATTTCCTATTTGACTAGATGAGAAAAATGTTTTTCAAAGTCACAGGAATGTTCTTCACCTAGCCTTGAAAATCAGAAAATTAGCAAGTTGAAATGATTGATATGGAAAAAACAACAAAGCCATTTTCAGAGTGGGGGTTGCATGCGCAAATGTACCAGCAATATTTCATTCTTTAACACTCTTATTAAATGTCATTAATGAAATTTTTATCTATGTATATTTTTACGTTATAGATCAGAATATGGCTGCACATCCCTGCTGTCATGCAGCACATTATACCCTTTAGGACTTACGTTATCAGGTAAATGTTTAATTTAAGAATTTGTTCTTGAGGGCATTTTGAATACCTACTTACATGTACCTTGTAATCATTCAAGTTGTTTCTTTTTCTGCATCACTTTAATAAGGTGAGTGATGGTAACATTTAGAGGTAGTTAAGGCAGCTTGTTCCACCTACCTGATTTCAATGTGGATTGGATCAATCTTGAGAATAATGTTTTTCATATGACATTCAGCCCTATGCTGGCACATCAGGATCAATCATAAAATAATTTTCTTAGAACTTTAAAGAAAATTTGCAATGAGGCGATGGAAGAGTAATATGTAGTCACTGAAATTTCAGTACTGCTATATACTATCACTGCTAGTTCTTCAGTGTTCTGACCTTAAAAGTAACTTTTCTTGCATTGGCCCAAAAGCTTCTCCAGACTTTGAATTTCCTGTAACTGTACTTTCAGAAATGTGCTTATTGTGGTCAAAGCTGATTTTCTTAATATCAATAAATATGCTCTTGCAGATTGTATTGTCTTAACTATAACAGTATAAAAACAATTTAAAAAGATGGGCAACAGAAAATTACATTTAATGAGGCTGAGAAATAGGTTTCGTATATTAAAATGTTCTGGCTTTAATTGTAATTAATTTTAGCAGCATGAAAATTATTTGTTTGGATACAGACCTACCCCATTGTAACATGCTTTCTATCAAAATGATACCAGCGGACAGAAGAGTACTAGCCTGTCAGTCTTGGTACAAGTCACAAACGCAGTCCTGGTATGTGCAGAGGAAGTGGAAGCTCTGATCAGAATTCTTGATCCGCAGTGTTTCCTGTGCAATACAACAAGAAAGAACAGAGCTGAAAAAATTTAAATTACTCTTCTGCTCAAAAGTATTTTTCTTAAGAATTTGAGTTTTATTAGAGTGCCCACCAAGACCACCAACGTGGGCCTAAAAACAAAAACAACAGCAACAAGCTAAGGGAGAAAACTAATTTACCAAATATGATAGTGAAATAGGAGATAATACAATATAATATAATTGGAATTGAACCTAATAAATCAAATAAATGATTGGGAAAGAGAGAGTGACTATCTGAAACCTAAGGGCCCTCCTCTAATGCAAGGTGGTGATGGAGCACACACCGAAGAGTCAAGTGGTAAAAGAAGAGGCAGTCTTGTGACTTGTGAGCAATTTTATCTTTCCCTCTAAACAGAAAACAGAAACGGAGCAGTAAAAGTCTTCTGGGATATGTAGTTCTTTTCTCCTGAGAACCAGGCAGCTGGAAATATCAGCAATCCATGGAACTGAAGGATTAAGTCTTTAACTCCCAGTGCACCACATAATGTTAAGGTGTGGAATACTGATAATAAAAATCATAAACCCATGACATGGTAACAAGTACTACTGAGATGATAGTAAGGGTGATAAAGAAGGTAGGAGATTTTTTTTTTAAAACATTAAAAGGCACATTCTAGGGATGGTGGTTGGTTGTTTTTGTTTTTTTTCCACGAAAATGGCTGTTACGAGTGACACGAAGGCAGTAAATATGGAATGATTTCCAGTTTTTCAAAACAACAGAAAATCCAATAGTCATTAGGTTGCAGGCTTAAATGAAAGGGGACTGGCTTTCCTGCAGTCACAGTTGTGAAACTGCCACATGTTAATGAGAAAGTTAAGAGTACAGATAGGAGAGAAATGATTTCACAGTAGCACATAGGTTCATCTTTTATTTATATATGGGATAAATCTTTCATCTGCTTTTAGAAAGTCTATTTTGGGCTGACTAGACCTTGCTCCAATGACACTCTTGTTATGCAAGGCAGTGCAGCAAATTTACAGTTAGTCAGTGTAAGGAATAAAGAAAAGTTTGTGTTAATTGCCAGTGCTAACTAAATATTTCATTATTTGTTAAAATGGCAAAAAACATTAAATGGCTTAGGTCACTCTATCTTTCCACTTTCAGAAAGAGATTTAAGCTATTCTCCAAGTTTCTGATCAAGTGGTTGGCAATCCTGCCCATGGACAGGGGTTGTAACTAGGTAATCTTTAAGGTCCCTTCCTGACCAAGCAATTCTGTGATTCTAAATTTGAGTAGCTTTAGTCTTGGTGGTGGAAATATGATCATGTTTGATCTATGATCAGCACTGTAGGGCTGATAAGTTTTCTAATGTAGATGCAATTTTACTCATAAAGGCGTATGTGGTGCCTTCAGAAGCCACCTGGATGTAGTCCTGGCAGCATGCTCTGGGTGGCCCTTCTTGAACAGGTGTTGGACCAGATGGTCCAACCTCTAACAGTCTGTGATTCTGTGATTTTTTTAATGTTTATACTGTGCTTAGGTATTACAATAACCCTGCTACATTGAAAACTCTTAATTTGGGTGCTGACTGAAAGTGTTCTTTGTAGCTTAGTATTTCTGTAGCTCTGAAAATGAATTATAGAATCATAGGACAGCCTGGGTTGAAAAGGAGCTCAAAAGATCATCTGGTTTCAACCCGCCTGCTATGTGCAGGGTCACCAACCAGCAGACCAGGCTGCCCAGAGCCGTTCCCCCTCCTCTTTACACGCTCCCTTCAAGTACTGGAAGACCACAATGAGGTCTCCCCAGAGCCGTCTCTTCTCCAAGCTAAACGAGCCCAGTCCCCCCAACCTTTCTCCATAGGAGAGGTGCTCCAGCCCTCTGATCATCTTAGGGACCCGTTCCAAGAGCTCCACGTCCTTGCTATGCTGGGGGCCCCAGGCCTGGACACAGCGCTGCAGATGGGGCCTCACAGGAGCCGAGCAGAGGGGGACGATCACCTCCCTCTCCTGCTGGCCGCCCCTTTTTCATGCAGCCCAGAACACAGCTGGCCTTCCGGGCTGCAGGCGCACACTGCTGCCTCATGGCCAGCTTCTCGTCCACCAGGACCCCCAGGTCCTTCTGCGCAGGGCTGCTCTCAAGGACTTCTTCCCCCACTCTGCATAAACACCTGGGATCGCCCCGGCCCCAGGTGCAGCACCCTGCACTTGGCCTTATTGGACCTCATCAGGATTTCATGGTCCACTTCTCCAGCCTGTCCAGGTTTGTCTGGATGGCTTCCCTCCCTCTAACGTATCAACTGCACCATTCAACTTGCTGAGGATGCACTTGATTTCATCATCTGTGTCACTGATGAAGATGTTGAAGAGCACTGGTTCCAAGATCAACTCCTGGGAGAGTTCCCATTTGTGATCGGCCTCTGCCCAGACATAGAATCACTGATCACAGTCCTTCAGCTGCGACCAGCCAGCCAATTCCTAACCCATCAAGCCCTTCACCCTTTAAATCCACACCTCTCCAATTTAGAGAGAAGGATGTGGTGAGGAGCCATGTCAGAGGCTTTGCAAAAGTCCAGGAAGATGACATCCATCACCCTTCACCCATCCACTGAAGCCATCACTCCATCGCAGAAGGCCACCAGATTGGTCAGGCACAGTGGTGGCTTGGTGCAGCCACACTGTCTTGGATCACCCTTTGTCTTGTATGTGCCTAAAAATGGTAACCAGGAGGTTCTGCTCCATGATCTTCCCAGGCACAGAGGTGGGGCTCACCGGCCTGTAGTTACCCGGGTCTTCCTTTCTTAAAAATGGGAGTAATATTCCCTTTTTCCAGTGGCTGGGCATGATTTTTCAAATTGATGGAGAGCGGCTCGGTGACCACATCAGCCATCTCTTTCAGAACCCTAGCATGGATATCTGGCCCCATGAAACATATGCGGTAGTTCCGTTATGAAAGTGGGAATTTTAAAAATGTTATCTCAGTACTATGAATTAAAAAACGTGGTGCAGTTGATGCAAGCTAGGGCTAGATATAGTAAATGAGCTAAGAGAGTCCTGAGGATATTGTTGTTCTGTGAGCTTTGTGTATAAATATATACCGATACTGTTGCATTATGATAAAAAAGATCTGTTGTATTAACTAGATCAGCATAATTGCTTCAAACTTTTGAGTGTAAGCAGAATTTTCAGTGAAAGCCCTGCTAGTGACATCTAGTGAGGCCACAAGTGCACCCTTCTTTCTGTATAAAAAGACTGTGTTTTTTCCTGCCTATTTCAACAGTCGCTCATTATCTGTCTGTTGTAGTTTAACCCGGCAGCACCACACAGTCATTCACTCTCTGTTCTTTCCAGTATGATGGGAGAGAACGGGGGGGGGGGGGAAGAAAAAGAATGATTTGTGGGTTGAGAGAAAAGCTATTTAATATGGTAGGAAAGGAAGAGAGAAATAACAGGAATGATAATTATGTGTATTTACAAAACATGTGAAGCACAACACAATTACTCACCACTTGCTGACCAGTGCCCAGTCAGTCCCTGAGCAGTAGCTGCCGCCCCAGCCAGGTCATGTCAATATTATCTTTTTTTCACATGATATCATATGACATGAAATATTCTTTTGGCCTGTTTAGGCCAGCTGTCCAGATCTCCCAGCTCCTTGGACATCCTCAGCCCCCTCTGGCAGGACAGTACAAGGAAATGAAATGTCCTTTGCTCTCTGTACAGCACTGCTCAGCAACATCTAAAGCATCAGTGTACTATCAATACTGTTTTTCTCCCAGAGTTGAGACGTAGTATCAAACCAGACAGGATGAGGGGGAAAAAAAACAACTGTCCTAGCTGAAACCAGGAAACTTACACAATTTTTTTCATTCTACATATAATTTCTTTTAAGATCTTTGGTCTTTCGTATTTCTTGTCTAAAATATGACAATGCATATTATGATTGAAGAACTTTGGGAACAAGGGCTGATTATAGTTTGCATATAAAAATGTGGAGGTAAAAATTGGTCAAAAGTTGCTGAGAGTTGAAATGATTACATTTTGTACCATGGACCAGTTAATTTATTTTGTCAGTGTGCAGCTCCTGTCACCTGTCTGTAGATTTGATGTAGTTTACTGGCTCTGGTTTGCTGCTGAACTCTTTCAAGTGGGTTGTGCCTTTTCATTGTCAGTTTTGTTTAGAAATCATAGCACAGAAGCATACCATTATCTGACTTCCACTGCTCCGTGTAAGAGGTAAATTTCATAATTAATAAGGACCCTCAGTGGTCCTTATCTTGTCTTTCTTTAACTTAGCCGTGATTTCTGTTGTGGATGTAGTCTCTGATCATTTGCACTAGAGCATCTTTTCTGTGTTTAACAATGTTAAGTATCACTGGAGTGTGTTTATTTTAAGGCCTCTACACAAGAGCTACGAGAAAGGACCTCAGTCTAAGAAAGAAGGCCTGTAGGTTTTTTGTTGTTGTTTTTTAAATTTACTGATGTTTATACAGCAGTGCGAAAGAATAGTGTGCAAGTGTAATTAAGTGCAGTTTAATATCTCTTTTGCATTTTATAATATTTTCTTATATTTGTCAAGTCTTCCCAGGATGGGTCCAGATTCAAGACTGTCAAACGTATTTATACTATATTTTTGTGTATTTAAATCTAGTTTGGATGGAGTTGAAATACTGAAGGCTTCTAATCTGCTTCTCCAAAGAACTGCATGAGATTTGTGCCATTCTACATAAATCTGTTTCTTCCGAAAATAAATTTGAAGAGGTTTAAAATAAGAAATGTATTTATTTTTTATAATATTTTATCTAATTCCATAGTGGTTTTTTCATTGTTGTCAACTTTGATAGACTATTGATAATGGTATTTTAAGGCTTAGTACTCTTAGGGCTGTTGGAAATACATACTTGCTATAATCCAGATGTATTTCAGGAGTGTTCTAGTTTGAATCACACTCTTTTTTCTATTCTTCCTTTTGTAATTTATTCTAGGTATTTATGTAAACTATCAGACCAGGAGTTACGACAGACTGCAGCCCGGAACATGGCAGATTTAATGTGGAGCACAGTTAAAGAGCCTCTGGATACTGCTTTGTGCTTTGATAAAGAAAGTCTTGATCTTGCATTTAAATACTTTATGTCTCCAACTCTAACAATGAGATTGGCTGGGCTGAGTCAAATAACAGTAAGAACTCTTTTAAAAATATAATAATTTTTAGAAGAAAATGTCTTTTTGTGCCTTACAAATTTCTGACTTGTTTTTCAGGTTTGTTTTTTTTTTTTTTTTTTTTTTTAATGTGTGAAAACAGCAGAATCCTAATCTATGCAATATTAGGAAATTATAGTCGTGGTTGTGAATAGTTCACTGAGAGATATGAGTGTAACGTATTCCCTGAACAATTTACCATCCTAAACACAACTGTGTTTTAAATATGTTTTGTGTCAGCTGTGTGAAATTAAATCCCTTGACATGGCTATATTTGTTGCTTACCACAAAGCAATATTTTGATTTTCACCTTCACACTGTTTTGATTACTGTAATTGTCTGCTTCTCTGTATCATATGTACCGTTTTCCTGTTTGTTTTGTATAGTCTCTTTCTCAAGAGAGTGCATTTCTGCATCAGTTAACAGAAATTGAATTGAGAAGATCAATATATACAGCAAAAAATATAAGTACATTTAAAACAAAAATCCTCAATTTTGTCTTTCCCATGGAAATGTTGTGCACATCACTAGTCAGTGTACATTGTGCATCCTTTGTCAGTCATTGTTTCCAACATACGCATTCAAGTCATGCTGGGACAGAAGTGAACGTTACTAATCTGAGTCTTTTCAGTTTTTGGGTTTGTTTGACAATCTTAAATATAAGATTTATAGGACTTACTGTCGTGTTCGCCTTAATACAAAAAACGGTGAATAGACACAAAATATTACAGAATGGTTGAATGATTTGCAGTCTTTTCTGGACACATTTAACTTCTCCTCTAGTAGATTACAAAGTATCACTCAATTATTCTGTTCGTCACTGAGTGTCAGTAAATACAAGACAGGTTTACGTAGATTTCATTTTACTTTTCGCTGTAGTTATATGTAGAATTATTTACAGTTGCATTTTTGACCAATTTAAATATTTAAAATAACAACGTTAATTTAAAATTTAAAAAAAACCTGTGTTTTCCATTAGAATATATGTATTTTTGTTTAAAAACACCAATAATTAATTTGCATTGACACATGACCTCCTACATTTAAAAAAAATATGTAAATTATATCCATGCAGTATTAAATGCTATTTTAAGAGATTCTGTACTTTTTGTACCCAAATCCATTGTCATTTAGTTTTGCACTTATATAATGGAAAACATAAGACAGTTAACTCAGTAGAGATGCTAAAGCAAACTACAGAGAAATTTAACCTTTAGAAGAAATAATGATAGTGTGTATTTGTTACTGTTCATATGCATAGATAATTTTTGACTTTGCATAAATGCTATTCATAGTATGCATGATGCTTGAATTCTGATTTTCTGTCTTCGTTAGTATAAAGTGAATTTTCAGGTTTGTTTTGAATAGTGCAAAAACTTGCGAGGATTGTGAAGTCCTAGGCTGGAAATACAGCATCTGTTTTTGTTTGGATTTTTCATTGCCATTTACATTCATGTTTGTAGAGTTACAGATCTCTTAACATACCTCGTAGATATATTTAAAAATATGGTCATTGCTTGGATGTAGAAGGAATTTCCCTCTGCCACACTTTTTGAAATTTTATTTTATTCTGTATTGATTTGGAAAATGTAATTTCTAGTATCACTGGTTTAAGAGTAAGTTTCTAGTGTTTGAGTTACATTGTGTTTTTATTACAGTAGCACTTCAGTTTTGAGCGGTTGATTTTGTCAGCTACTTTGTGCATATCCATATGCAAAACGAATGCATGAGTTTAATCTTTATGCATTTTGTTCCTTTAGGGGAATGTTAAATTGTGTCTCTTTAAATAGTTACGCTTTGACATATTGCAATCAATGGTTGTTGAGTGACAAAGTGAGATTTTTAGCAACAGATATTATCAAAAGCAACATTTTGCAGTATTTTTCAACTAAAGCAAATAGGTTTCAGCATGTGAAAAAAAAACAACCCTGTTATGTTGTTTTTTAATAAATTATTGAGTCTTTTTTATATAAATAGTCTATAAAACTACTTGGAACTCAGAGACAAGTCATTATTCTTTTTCATTCAAATCATGGGGAATTTTCTTTTTTGGTTCTATTTTTAAAGATCTCATGGAAGAATCTTTGGAGGCATCTAAAACTTTTTCTTGACTTTTGAGCTTTGGTTCATTTAGTTTATTTGCTTTGCCAGGAGCAGTTTTAATTGCCAGATCTGTGAAATTTGAGCCAAAATTTACAGGAAGTTTGACTGCAAACAAGGATCTGTTTGCAAAAATATCATGAAACCACTTAGTGTTTTCACACAATCTTGTCTTTTACTGATATGCTCTCTTGACTACTTTTATGAAGTTTTCTTTTCTACTCATGACTTTGGTGGCTAGAATTTGTCAAAGTAATTTCATTGAATTATTCTACCCAACCAATGCAATTTCAGCCTTCCATTTTGTATTCAAGACTTTAGAATAAAGAAAACTGCAAAATATTTTCCATTCTTCAACTTTTATTTGTCTAAAACTGAGGATTTGGTCTTGGTCTATTTGGTCTGACATGACCAGTCTTAAAATTAAACCTTTCAGTTCCATGGAAACTCTTGAGACTCGCAGAATACGTGCTGTATGGCGTACGGGGATTGTATGTGCTTACCACCAAATACGGACTTACCTCTCTTGAGGAGTAGTGTATACATAATGTGTCATATCATCTGACTTAAGTTCTTATTTACAAAACAAGGTTGGAGATAGACACTTGCAGGTTAATTTTAGCAAAGACGAAGCTTGAGTGGTTGAATATCAAATTGGAAATAGCTACAGAAAACCAAGATACACCAGAAGTTTTTACCTTGTCCCACTTTAGTTTCGTTTCCCTGTCATTCAGTTCCTAAGTTCCCTTTTCTGTGTCTGCTATTGTATCACAGATAGGATTCTTTTCTTTTTTTATTTCCAAATTCTTCTAGTTAGTTAGAAATTAACTTAAATATGTAGGAATAAATATTCATAACTTATCTGGGCATTCTTTTTTTTTTCCAGGTTTTTAGTGAAGATAGAAATGTAGCATTATAGGATTTTCCCAGGAAAAAATAAAAATCAGTACAGAAATTAGACAGTGCACATTTATTTCTTCCTGCATTGGTTTCCTGTGTAGAAAGTTTAATTTCCCTTGATGACTGGACCATGACACACGAGTAGCTAGGGAGATTGCTTTCCATTCTTAGCTTTCTTTGTTTTCCTTCTGTTGTACTCAGTAACCAGAACATCTTTATTAGATGGATTGAGTGTCTGAGCAGAGGTGTCTTCAGTTTCTTGAAGTCTTTCATATATATCACAAAAAATTGAATAATGTTATTGTCTTTGACATTTAATGATAACATATCATGAAGTGAAAACTTTTTTACCAGGTGAGTGAGAACAAGGTGGTGCATCACTTTCCCATATGTACTTTGTATTGCACTGTTATGTCAAAAATCTAAGTCTTTAGTTGTTGAAATCATATGAACCTGCAAATATAATAAATGTCACCTTTTGACAAAATTCCTTTGAATAAGGATTCTGTATGGGAAATTTGAGTCAACATGTGACCATAGATTTAAAATTGGTAATAGTCATACTTCGATACTCTCACTTTCTGATCAATTTGAAAACGTATTCAGAAACTCCAGTTACCTTTCACTTTATTTGACCCAGTTCTAATCAGTCAACTTGTTTGTTAAGTTCTGTTGCGTGTTTCACTGGAAAAAAAAACCCAACATATCCTGTGTTTCATTGAAAATTACTATTAATAACTTATTTGTTAATCGTTGCATAATCTAGCTTGCATGTCTCACTAATTTTTACTCATATTCAATTTTGTTTCTTAAAAAACACCTTTTTTCCCCTCTTAAAATTTTTGGGATTAGGTATAAATATTTGTGTACAGTTTGAAGGAGATTAACTGTCAACAGAATTATGGAGTGCATGAACTTGAGTTGTTGCAAGGAAGAAAAGAATAGAATAACCCTTTTGATGAAGTGAAGGGACAAGTTTGATCGAAATTTCAAAAATTCCATTGCAATGCCTTTTTTTTAAAATGACAAATCAACAAATAAGCTTTATTACATAACTTTAAGGATGTTGAAAATATGTTCATGTAAATAATTGGTCGCAGAGCCACCTGTGTTTCTGGAAGGTTGAAGCTGAGGGAAAGAGAAAGCTCATGGGAATTTTATTCTTTTCATTTGAAATGAGTATTTTTTATTAAAAGTCCTTAGCTTACAAACACAGAGGAAAACCAGTATGGTTTCATCCAATAATGTCAAGTTGTACAATAGATAATTAAAGCTATCTCATTATTTTCTTTGAGAGCACTTCTCCAAAGGAATTTCTTATGGAAAGCCTTTCTAAATACTAGAGAAATTCCAAATGTTTAAAGTTGCATAAAAAAATTGTTTAGTCTGTGTAATTGACAGCCTTGGGATTTGCAGTCTGTAGTTTCTGCAAAACATACTTGTCAAATCTGTGTGTAGTTTTTATTTTAAAATTCCAGTTCTGCTAGTGTACTCTGTCATCCTCCTCTATCATAACATTCAGGTATTGAAACGATTCACTTTTCTCATGCAGCATTGAACTAAGTTTTAGATCATGGTAGTGGGCTTATGCTTCTGAAGACAGCTTTATCTTCTTATAGATGGCAATAATGCAAGCTATTCTGCACCAAGTTATTCCAATCTCCTTAAATTAACAATAGGAGAAGGTTGAAATAACTTGATAGTGAAATGAGGCAGTTCTGTCAATAAGTTTATTTGTAGTTTCAGAGCATGGAGTTAATACACTTTTGTAACAAATAAAATTGCTTTCCTGTAAATAGAGTAAGGCATTACAATTTGACAACAAACTAACTAAACCCACTATCAAATATAGCTTTTCAGAATTCTTGGCTTTTGAGGGTATTAACAATAAATTTTAGCAACCTGAACAAAATTAAGATTAGTATACAATCAGAAAAGGTTTTGGTTCATGGACATATTTACTGAGGTGTTTTATAAATGTGAGAAAGAACATGAGAGACGTGATCCTTTAACAGGTTGATTTCTTTAAGACATCTTGTTAAAAATTAAAAAAAACCTCCACTATTTTTATGAATATTGAAATTTTAACTCACTTTGTAGACTTTTTTTTTTGCCACATTACCAATAATGAGGTCTTTATTGTTGTAGTGAGTTCCGTAATGATACAGAAACTCATCCTGAAGCCTCTGTTAAGAGTGTGTGTTTCATTACTCATGAAGAGCTATGTGCAACGATACTACCAGATACCTTCATTTGATTTCTGTTGAGGACAGTTTTCTAACACTGTTTAACTGGTTTAGTAAAAGAATTGTTGATTTAAAAGAATGAATAAATAAGTAAGACCAATCCTGCTTGCCTGCTAGAGTGCATGTTTAAATTTTTGAGTTTACTTAAAATCACTGCAAGGACTATAAAGATGTCTTTTCTGTTACTAATATTATTTATAAATATAGCAGAACTACTTTACAACATATTTAGATAACATTTTATTTTCTTCTTCCTTTTTCTAACTATAGAATCAACTTCATACCTTCAATGATGTCTGTAATAACGAGTCATTAGTTTCAGACACAGAAACGTAAGTAGGAATATTACATACTTCAACTGCTCTGTATGATTGCAGTTCTGTATTGTTGTAGATTTAAAACATTGGGAATCTGATCATCTGAGCTGTTTGTGAGAAATATTTTTATCGGGGTGTAATAAATGTTTTTAAATGGTTATTTCTGAAGTATTTCTAAATGTTTGTGGATTTTTTTACTGTTTTTTTGAAGGAGATAAGGTGACCTTTAGGAAAATGTAGATTATGAAATAATAAATTCCTGTAACAGCTATGAAGTATAAATATGAACTAGCTAACTCACATCCAAGTAATATTTTTGCTGTCATTTCATTGCTTCTAATACTGTAGTTAACTAAGACTTGTTTTTCTGTCACTGGCACCCATTCTTGTTACTAGTTTTCCAAATTTTGTGAGAAAGTGCTTTTAGAACAGGTTTTTGTTGCTTGTTTTTTCTTTTTTTTTTTTTTTTTCCAAAATCCCTTTCAGGTGAGTGTAACAATTTTAAACACGACTCCTATAAATCTTTGTGAAGTGTAATGCGTGGGATTGTATTCCATTAAGGAAATGTATTATGTTTGGACAGCTTTAAACTTAACATTAGAACTGTTTGTGATTTAGACAAAAATTTGTATTTAGGTGGCTGAAATAAGCATTCTTTTGAATTCCTAGACAAATTCTCTAAAACATAGGATTTTACTTAAAATATGTACTTTTCTCATATCTTAGGGATTGTATCCACATGTTTATCTTGTGTGCATCTAGTGAAACAACTTCCAGTATCTTTTCCATGTTAGCAGTGTGTATGGCAGCAGCAGTTGGCTTCCTTTTTTTATGTAGTTAGTTGGTTTTCTTTAACACTTGCTTATTTAGCTCTAGCAGCAGTCCTATTGCAGTTTTTGATTGCAATGTTGTAAAGTTCATGGGAATAGCAACTTAAATGCTTTGTGGAATTTGTGTTAATAAGTTGGTACTCTAAAAAGAATGAGAATCTATGATATTTTTGCTTCCAGAAAAATGTGGAAATACCTTGAGAATACAAACCGAAGACTGCTTGCAGTCTTTTTGTTCAAGTCATTCATCATTAAATGAATAGGTGGACATGAGTCTGTTTATTGGAACATGACATCCGTTTATTTAGAAGTGAATTTTGATACATAGTATCAGGAAAAAAAAATAAATAGAATTACCTTCAAGTGTGATGTAAATATCTCACTATAATCTGGTGAAACCTGAACACAATTTCACTAAGCAAATGTACATTTCTCAATATTTGCAGTATTCTAATAAATTATTTGTGCCCTAGCAGGTGTGGTTTTTTTCCAAAGCCTTTCGTTCGATATCAGTAGAAGCAAATACTGCAGGAATAAAACTAGATTTTAGGTTATGCAGTAGAAAGATTTTAAGTGAGGTGGCTTGGTTGACTGGGGTGTTTTCAGTCTTATACTGCCAGTTCATGGTGTATTGTTACTCTGGGATGGGCAAACATGTTTTATCCATTCTTTCTCCTCCTTGCTTCATGCTATGAATCTGAAACTGAGGTGTTTCTTGGTTTATTTTGTGAAATACATTGTGAGTGAATTGTTTAACAAGTAGTAACAAATTGAGGAGCACAAAAAAGAGGATGTTAAATTTCCCTGAAGAAGAGCAGATGTACTGTGGAAAAAGATCAGTTATCTTAAAGCTAAAGGAAATTGTCAAGTTCTCCTCTGGGATATTACTTTCTTGGCAAGGGCATCTGTAAGCATGTCATTTGAAAGGAATGCATTGTTAACAGAAAACCTTTTTTTCCCATGTTTGTAGTATGTGATTTTCTTTCTAATCTGAATTCCAGTCATTCTGATATTTTACCTGACAAATTGGGTACAAATCAATACCAAGTGTTGCTACTTGTATTCACATTTTGGAATCACGTATCCTATTATTTTGCAGGCCAAATAATCACAAAAGTTTGACACAGAAGGATGGGGAAAAATGTCTTTCTTCTGCAGTTCTTTCAGTACAAAGCTAGAGATCTCACTAGACTTAATTCATGAGAAATTTTTGGATCAGAAAGCGCTTGTGGAATTGACAGCAAAAGGAAAGCACTTCAATCCTATTTTTTTTCCTTGGTCAGAGGAGAAGTCTTATTTATTTTGTACCTTTGTAGCCTCTGCAGATTTATCAAAGAAAGATATTTTCCATTATTTGTGGTCTTCCCACTTGTGTCTTTTGACTTTTTCAGATGCATTTGGAACTGTCAACCTTTGCAGTTTCTGCTTCTATGTCTTTATAAGGTGGGTTTGCGGGAGGTATTTTTTTTTTCCTTTTAAGAGCTACAAGGTAGTTCTAGCTCTTCCTCCTGTATGGAAGTATCAGATTTTTTTTTTGCAAATATTTTGCAACAGTAGCTTCCCGCCTTTATCTGCATGGATTGCAGATTTTTCTGTAAGACAAGCTGAAGTATTTTTTGCCTAGGGAGAATGTTGGATTTCACAGCTTTCACTGGGAAGCATCAGAAAACTAAGGGAAATCTGTTCTCTAGCTGTAGATATTTGCATGTCTTTTTACATTCAGTATACTTGACTTGTCTTCTGCAGGGTTGAGGGTTCGTGCTGATTGATACTGTCCAGCTGCGTGCTGTGTCTTGCTGACTCAACTTTATCCATCAGAATGATACCTGTAATTTTGGTGTTCCTGGTTTTTAAGATAGAATCTAATTTTTGGTATCAAAATAATAAAATAATACCAATATCTAAGGCACTATCTAAGGTATTGAGGAATATGGGTTTTGAGGAATGTGAAATTTACCAGAGGTAAAGCAATGAGATTGAATAAAGGAGTCTTCTTGGTTTTGAATAGTGATATCTAAAACTATTTGACTGAGGTCACTTTCTGAAAACTGGTCATTTTCTTAATGGAGAGAATGATTTTTTTCCTATATGGACTGTAAGAGGAGAAAGTATTCTTCTTTTCCTTAATGAGGAACTGTTGGTTTGTGAAAACAGCAATATCAGCACTTGGCAGGCCAGGAATTTGAGTTTTGGAGTTCAGGCTGAAGCTGAGATGACTTCCCTCCTCATTTTAGAACCTGACTGACCTCACTAAAAATTCACATCACCTGTCAACATAGGGATCTAAATTGTTTCTTCTTTCTCTTCTCTCTTAAGCAGATATTAAGCTGCAAGTTTTGTGTTGGTTTTTTCCTTCACTACTGTTTTGTTAGTTTGTTGAGTACATTCTTGTATTTTGCCTTGGCTCACCAAATGAGTTTATAGCAACTTGATTTTAAAAGCCACTTCCCCCTCTCTCTATTTCCACATTCATATGGATCTTCCCAGGTTTTCTCCAAAAACAGAATACTGTAGTTACTCACTCAGCTCTCTAGTATTTCTTTCTAGTGGCACACATTGTAGTTCAACTGTGTTATACTTCTGGTGCTTGTCAAATAGGGAGATGTATGCTGATTAAAATAATAAAAAAAAAACAACAAAAGAACTTGAATGTTTGTTGGGAAAGTGGCTACTATGTGCTGTTCACATTTCTGACCCTAAAAAGTTAAGATCAACTCTTCCTGTTTGTGATTATTTTCATAGGCTGTATTTCAGTGATTTAGTCAAGAAATGCTAGTGTTTGTTCTTTGCAAGCTACTTGTTTTTGTTTTTTGTTTTTTTTTTTTTTTTTTTTTTTTGAGTTTTTGAATTACGTTTTTTTCAGAAACATTGCTGGATTTTATCCGGTACTGAGCTGATGTGTTTCTGTAGCTGCATGGTGGATTGTAATGGGAATAGACTGGTTGGGTAAATAAGATTTTGTTTTGGGGGGTTACTTCGGTGTGGGATTGGTTTCTGAATCTGGATGTTCCTGTGGTTATCAAGTATCCCACCTCAGCCTTAGCTTAAAATCTTTCTAGGATTTTAACACAGTCTTCCTTTAGGGAGGCATTCTTTAAGAGCTACCAGGAAACGTATACACAATAGTTACCTTCTGGATTTATTCACAGCAGTGAATGAAATACCTTTTGTAAATGCAGTTCAGAAACATCAGGTTTTATCAGAAACAGACACTTCTGCTCTTTTTTCCAGTCTTGTGGAATATAGATAAATCAATGTTAAAACTGGTTGAGTTTAATTTCTTGGAACTAGAACATCTGTTTTCAAAAGACATTAATTGATTGTGAATTCTATTAAAAGTTTAGGGAGAAATTAATGAAGCCTAGAGGTTGTCTAGCCCAATATTTTGTGTAGATTTCCAGCCAGAGAGAGATTTAGAGACAATTAAACTAGCATGTCTGCTCCCCTCACTTCATTTTCTCCTTTTGCCTTTACTAAATCTACCACAGAGAGCTGATACGTGTTATTTCAAAGGTGAATGTTCTCAAATCTTAAGTGTCGAGGGCTTAAATATGTTGTTTGTAGAACAGTTCTTTGTACAGCTGCTTTCATATTAGAGGGAAGAGCATACCTCTATGGATTATCTGACATATAGTGGTATCACATACTAGTAATCATATAATAATTTGCAAATCATTCTGTGAAAGAGTACTTCTTTCTTTTGAAGAATACAGACTATATATACAGGAATGTTAATATAGCTGTAAATCAAAATGAAATCTGTGAAAATACTGAAGATTATACTTATTAGGTTTGTTGTAAAAAGTTGTTCAAGATTGCTCTGCTTTTTTGTTTGTGTGAGGTTCTGAAATTGCTTGTGAGTTAAGGTGTTCAGTCTGTTTTCAAGTGTGAAGAAACATTCAAGGAAAACCGCTAGGCAAAAAAATCTTATCTTTGAGAATACATGTATTAAAAAAGGGCATTCCTTCAGAGGAGTAATCCATTATTTCTCAGAAGAAAACTTACAGACTAGAGATGAAGAGTTGTTATACTTCTTTAATAAGATGGCGTAGGAGCCAACTCAGGAAAGAGTTCTCTTTCTTTTCTTTGAGGTAGCCAGAATACAGCATGTAACTCTGAGTACAGCATCTAATGGCTATTGTGTCATACTGAGCACTGTGTCTTGTGTCCTTCCGGATTAGCAATAACAGTGAATCTGGCAGTGTTTACCTGGGGTTTGTTGTCACTGATACAGATCCAGCAATCCAGATCCCAGAAGAAACTAAGTGGTGCTGGAAGAAAATTACTTCAGTTGACTTATAACTCTGGTGTTAACTCTGAAGTGTTTTTCAGACATGTTATGTTTCTTCAAATTTCATAGTCAGAAATGTCTCCGTTCAGATCTCCTGCACCCAGTGGGTGTATGTTCAGTCGTGTCACCAGGTCTGTCTACCTTTTATATGAGAAGAATGAAAACTAATACTTTTTGGCTGTGTCATGTAGCAGGATCCTTTCAACCACAGTAGGACAAAAACAGTACAAAGCAGTAAGAGTTAAGTAGGAAGCAAACTGACTGTAAAGGAGGGAGTGACATTCACTGTTCAAGAATGTGGGGCTGGGAAACTGTAATGTAAGACAGATGGTGATTTTTGATTTTGAATTCCATCGCTGCTCCTTATGAGTGTGTATACACTGTAGGTTTATTACTTCCCAGAGTACTTACATTGTAGTCCTTATGTTGGTTGGCTCTTCATCAGTAACAAATTCATTTATTTTGCTACCATGCAGTTTGCATATGAAACAAGAGTAAAGACCATTTTTCTCGCATAAGAAATTAAACTGATTGCTCACATTTCACAAGTAAATCTGTGAGAACTCTGTTTTCTATTATTCTGGTCTTGAGGCTAATGCCAAGACTAGTGATCTAACGGCATGAAAAGTCACAGGGCTACAAGCTCTTGAGCTATATGGACAGTGCCACTGTACTCACTTCTGCTTGTCAGAATGGAGGCAGATGGATAAGAGTGTTGTTCAGAGCCATTTTGGTCTTCAAGGGATACTGGTAGATATATTCAATCGAACAACAGCTTCAGCTGTAAAATCTGTAAGATCCCACATGAGAACGTTTCTTCATATTTTGTTACAAACCGATTTCTGAATGCATATGTAAAATGCATACTCTGAAGTGTGGCTTGGGATTGGTGTCTGAAGTTTTATGAGTAGTGGTTAATTTTATTTTTTTATTTATTTAATGAGGCTGTTGGAAGTTAAATAAAAACAAAATAGATCCAGCGTACCTTTTTTAAGCTCTTTTCTGAGCAGATACTCTACCTCTACCTTGGTTTATTAGCAAGTCACAAATGATAGCGTTGTTAAATTGTCAGATCTTGCAAACCAGTTAGTTCATAACTGTCTGGGGGACCTTACTTTTTTCAAATCATATTTCGAAGAACTTTAGAATGGAATGAGGCAGTGTAGGAATTCATCTGTAGCAATCAGACAGTTCAGAACAACCGTGGAATTGGCATTATGCTGCAAAAAGGTGAATTTGATTTTCAATTGCCTGCAAGGAAATCCTTTTTTACCTAAGACAATCTTTGTAATCCACAATAATAGTGGTTGTATTTGCAGCACAGGTAATAGTGGTAAAAGATAATTATTCCTGTACTCCTCTGAGAAACCCATTCTCTCCCCTTCTCTCTTGTTTGTGTGACAGAGCACTTTTATTTCAGCATCATTTAAACTAGGGACTATACTTTAAGTACTGAAATGTGTTCTAATTGCCAAAATCTGGAATAACAAACGCTTCAATGTACAATGCATAAAAAGGAGCTTATACACTAGTTTCCAGGCTGGGCAGTTAGTTTTGGAATTTTTATTTATAACTTGTATTTTGGAAAATTCAGATTCCTTGTCTTGTTCTGTTTGAATATTTCATTATGGATTGTCAATGACTGTCCATTGCTGTGGATGGAACAAGATGAAGATTTTAAAATATCTGTGTGCTGTCTGTATCTGTAAGTTTGGCAATGTATATACATAGGTTTTTGAAACTGTATGAATTGCTGTTTACTCTGGAAAATCTAAAAAATGTTTAAGGGCTTTTCTTATAAAAATCATTTACATCACTCCTAGCTTTAGTTACATTTGCAAACTCAGTAGTTGTTTTGGAATTTTATTATAAACTCAGATGAAATAGCAGCTTTTTTAAATCAAAAACTTCCTATAAAGTCTCTGAAAGTAGTCTTCCAGTGGTCTTTGAACTCTAAGCAGTAAAAAAATTGGTATAATTGTTGTTTACATGTTTGCTGTCAATCTAGAGGGATAAATGGGAAATGTTGATGTTTGGCATTGGTCTTCCTACTGAAGTAAAACTACAGAGAACAGTGAATGAATGTACTGTGTTCAGAAACATTTTTTTATGCTTACCGTAATTATAAATGTTAATTTAAATGAAATTGTGTGCTAGGGAAGAATACTGGATATTTATTGTAGAAAGTTAGTTTTTACATATATTTCCTCCCCTCCTTTTTTTTTTTTTTTTTCTTTCTTTCTTTTTTTTTCCTCCCCTTCCATCTCTAGGTCAATTGCAAAAGAGCTTGCAGACTGGCTTATCAACAGCAATGTAGTTGAACACATTTTTGGACCAAACATACACATTGAGGTTTGTATAAAATTATGTCTGTCATTTTTAGTGTGGATATCAAGGCCTAACTTGTTCTAGTATATCTTTCCTCAATATGTTTTCACTTTGCAGATCATCAAACAGTGCCAAGTGATTCTGAATTTCCTTGCAGCCGAAGGGAGACTTAGTACTCAACATATAGACTGTATTTGGGCTGCAGCACAGGTATATGTTTTTATTTATTTAATTATGATTTTATTTAATAATTGCAGAAGCAATACAAAAATCGGAAAATGGCAAGGTAATTTTATTTTACATGCATAAAGTTGAGTTCCTTGGATTTTTCTTTGTTTATTGGAATGTTTGGCTTATCACATTTTGATTTAGAAAACTTCCACAACTAATTTTTTTCATTAGTTGCTCAGATTTTACTAAGCTGTTTCTATGTTTATTGAAGTCATAGTGTTTTCACCAAGAATAGGGACAAAGATTATAAGACTATATAATATAAGATTATATTATTACTGTTGTGGTAAGTTGCCTTGCTCCTTCTTCATATAACTTGCACTTCACTACGTAACTTGCACTTCACTACTTGGTGAGATACAGATGATGAAAATTGCAACAGTGCAGTTCACAGGTGTACTTCAGTGCTGGTGCTGAAGTCTACAGAATGCAGTAAGATTTTACTTTTTGCTTGGTAGACTGGAAACTCTGATAAGCTTTTTTTTCCTTCAGAAAAATACATTATTTTACTAATTTGCATTTATTATTATGATGTTTCTTTTAAATTACGGATGGCTTCTTTTTCCTTAGGACATTTGAATACAGTTATCAGACATTCTGTTAACCTGCTGTATGAACTTTTTCCATGGTTTCATTCTACCTTTATAATGTTTTAAGGTAAAAAAAAAAAAAAAAAAAAGAGGTCCACACAAAAGAAAGAAACTTTAAGTTTTCACTGTTGGTTTTCCAGAAAAAAAATGCACACAAAATGAAGGACAGAACAGATACATGGAACTTTGGAACTTACTTTTACACGAGTTACAGTTTTTTTCTTTTTCCTCTGTTCAGCAGTATATTAGTGTCTATTTAGTTTCAAATACTGCTGTAAACATTCTGTAAACTTTATAGTCCATTATCATTATGAAATTCAGCCGAAATGTCATTGTGCTTGTTATAATATTCACTGTAACAGGCTTCAACATTTTTCTGTGTCAGGTTAATTATTTCAATTTTATGATGTTGGTTCACAATGTCAGAGGAGGATGTTGGTGATATGGCAGTAGAGGCTTAACCTTCTTGACAGTTTTCTGTTACCTTTTATTGTCATGTGGCAGATGGCAGCAGAGGGGTAATCTGACAATATCACATCTGATGTGGAAGTGTGTATGATGCAAGGTTGTGTCACTGAATTCCTCCAGGCATAAAAAATGGCCCCCATTGACATTCATTGACACTCACTGAAGGTTTAATAGAGACCAAACAGTGCATGTAGACACCATGAGGCATGGGGTGGTGAGTGTCTGCAGCAGTGACAACATGAAAGACAATCCATGTTCTAGATAGCTGTGCAGATTATTACAAGTGTGACATGCAGGCTTTTGTTCATTTGTGGTGAAAGTGCACAGCTAATTGTGATTATGTTGAAGAATAGTGTTTTGCAGCTGGGAATTTGCTCTATCAAATAGTGCTGTTCTCTTTTTATCTGTTGTTGTTTCTGTGGAAATAAATAGGAGGCATTACTTTCAGAGCACTTGCGGGTACTTAATCAACTTTGCTATTCTCACACATATGCTAGTTCATACTACTGTTGGCACTCTACGTTTTTCTCTTACGTTGTTTTTAAAATATAATTGTCCATATTATGATATTTATTTTAAAGATCGGATGCCCATTTTAATGTGTTGATATTTTCAAAATGTGTTTCATATCTGAATTAAGTTACGCCTGGATTGCTTTATGTAAAAGGTTTAAACCTCTAACATTTGAAAGGGTGACAGCTATGGACTAAAAGAATCATGGAAGAAGCTCTTAGAGTTGGAAGGGACCTTTAAAGGTCATATAGTCCAAAACCTTGAACTGTTTGCTTTTTGTTCTTTTAACTAATGTTTTGGCATAAAGATTCTCTGAATTAAAGCAGATTATCTAAGAACGTTCCTGATATTCATTATGTTTAAATGCAACCTTGTGTAGGTCCCACGTGATTTCATTCTAGTTTCAGTAAATACATGTACCCCATGAACTCCTTACATAGATATTGTATACTACAGGAAGGAAAAGTAAAATGAATAAATGAGGAGAAAAACACCCTTTTGTAGTGTTTGTGATAACCAACATTAGCAGTGTTTGTTTGATTTTTTTTCCAAGAATATCTTTGGACATTATTTTAGAGTTACCTACATCCTTCTGAACATAATGAAACTCTTTGACTTTGAGCAGCGTTTAACCTAAGAAGTATTTATGTGTACTGTCACCATATATCCTTAAATATGTAGTTAGCTGTTGTATTTTTTGGCATTACCACGAAGTCCTAAACACGACAGTTCTCTCTGACTTATATTACTTAACACTTGCTTGTCAGTTAATCCTTTTTACTGAATAGTAAATAATACTAATAGTAAATACTATTCTCCTCAAGATTTAACATATTAACTAATATTTCAGGTGTTTTCTTTAAATTAACCTGCAAGCATAACTTGTTCTTTTGCCCAAAGCTCCTACTGGATCTAAAACTGAAGAAGATATGTGGTGATATTACATCTGATATCACTTAACTTAGCCTGCCATGGAATGTAAAAATTCAGTCAAAATTGCAAGTCTGATGTTTAGAGCTGTTGGCCTAACGTTTATTAAGAATTTGTGCAAAGGTTTCAGTTTTATCCATATTTTTTTTTGCAGTAAAACTTGTTATATTCTCTGTTTGTACATTGTAGCTAAAGCATTGCAGTCGTTACATACACGATTTGTTCCCTTCTTTGATCAAAAACTTGGACCCTGTCCCACTTAGGCATCTCCTTAACCTAGTCTCGACTCTTCATCCAAGCGCTCACACTGAACAGGTAAAGATGAACAAAATTACTGCAACAAGAAATTATGTTAGTATTTTAATTAGCAGTTATGTGTTTATCATTCAAAAAGAAAGCATGAAAGTAATATTCACTAATGCATAAAAGAAGAATGTACATGAGTAAAACTGTCATGTTTCTGTATGCTTTTCTTGCTTCACAACTGCAGTTTTTTTCAGAGGCTTTTAAAGTCTGCGTAATCATAGTTTTATATGTTATAAAAATATTAAATATATTAAGTAGGTATAATAGTCTATACTATACATGAAGTTAAAACATGTTCCATACTATATTTCTTCTTATTCTCCATTTGTTTATTTTGATGCATTTATTTTGTAGCATTGGCATACTGAAAGATTAACAATATATCTTTGCATACAAAACCTGCTGCTTCTTCATGGCACTGTTACCTGATTTTCTTTGTAGACATTGTATTTGGCATCAATGCTTATAAAAGCACTGTGGAACAATGCACTAGCAGCTAAAGCTCAGCTGTCAAAACAAAGCTCTTTTGCATCTTTACTCAGTACTAATCTACCAATAGGAAACAAAAAAGGTATGTATTTATCCCATTCAATCTGGTAGTTAAAGTTTTAATTTATGTATCCCCCATTTTTTACTTGAAGTATTAAAATAAATAAATAAATGAAAGGTCCTGCTGGCATATTTTTCAAGCAGAAAATAAAATAAAATAAAGAATAATGATGAAGGCATTCGTCATCAAGTTGTGGTTTAACCCAGCAGGCAGTTAAGTACCATGGAGCTGTTGCTCACTCCTCCAGCCTGGGACAGGGGAAAGAGAAAGGAAGAAATAGAATTAGTAGAATTAATTAGTTGAGATAAAAACTTTTCCTCATCTAAAAGGAAGAGAGAAATAATAGTACATACATACATATGTACGTATGTATGTGTGTATTTATTTATTTATATTTACGAAGCAAGCAATCCATAATTGCTCACCGCTGGCTGATGCCCAGCCAGTTTCCGAGCAGAGGCTGCCTTCCCCACTCAGTTTCCCTCAGTTTGATTGTTTTTTCCAATCAGTGTCAGTATTGTGTGCGATATCCCTTTGACCCTTTAGATCAGCTGACCCGGTTTGGTCAGCTTGGTCCTCCCCAGTATCCTTTCTGGCAAGATAATTCAAGAAGCTGAAATGTCCTTGGCTCTCTAAGTACAGTACTGTTCAGCAACAACTGAAACATTTGTGTGTTATTAACAGTATTTATCTCCCAGACCAAAACATATAATCATACCAGACACTATGAACAAACTCCGCTCTATATATCACGTCACGTAGTATTTATTTTTCTTTCGTTTGTATTTTAATTCAAAGAATAGTTCAGCTTACCGGTTAACTACTTCTGTTCTGGTGAACAGCTGTAATTTTATAGCTACATCAAATATTACGAAAGTTTATCTGTTTTTTACCTTGTTGCTGATATTACTTGCTATTTCTGTGTTTTTTTCTCTATTTGAGTATGTATTTTCCTGCAGTCATTACTAAAGGTGCTTCTAAAGCATTATACTGTAGTTCAACTAACTTTTCTTACTTCTGATTTTTATGAATGATGGACAGCTATAGACTGGCAAAAAGAATTTTAGTTATTGATTTTCCGTTCTGTTTTTCTCTTCAGAGGAGGATCTCAGAAGAGCAGCCCCTTCGCCTTGTAAGTATAGATTTAGCAGAACACCATGTTTTGTATATTTCATGCTATGTTTCTTATAGAGCTATTTGGGTAGAAGAAAAGCTGGTACAAGTTTGAAAATGTATTCTATGAAAATTAAATCCAAATTATATTTAGTGTAGAATCTAACCAAGTGGTGTAGCTGTTTTACATACTGGCACAAGAAATTATCTGAATACAAATTTTGTTATAAAATGCATAGTGTTCTGAAAAGAATTTTTAGTGCTGAGGCATTCAGGATGTTTGGGTTGTCTTCCTTGTTCAAATGTTTGTGGCTAGAATGTTTTTCATTCCAACATATGAAGCAGATTTATGAATATATACATTCCAATTAATACATAGTGCAGATTAACTAGGAAACATGATTTTGAACTAGGGTCACCAGCAGCTAGCCCTCAAAGTAGCGACAACAGTGACACCCATCAGAGTGGAGGTAGTGATATTGAAATGGAGGAGCAGCTTATTAACAGAACAAAACATGTACAGCAGCGACTTTCAGATACAGAGGTAAGCATGTTAAAGTTTAGTCTGTGAATTTTGTTTTTGAATTGCCTGTTACAAGCTATGGAAATATCTTTTTTTTTTCTGTACTTTTTTTCAGAAATTGAACAGTTTTGAGTTCTTTGAGTGAAAAAATGTTCTGATGTGGCTTTGTGTGCATAAGTGGGGAACCTTTAGTTGTAATCCAAATCTTCTTGGTCAGATGCTGTAATGTGCTGACCAGGGAGGTGGTGGGGTCACTGTCCCTGGAGGTGTTCCAGAAACATTTAGATGTCGTATTGAGGACATTGTTTAGTGGGAAATATGGGTGGTAGGTGGACAGTTGGACTGGATGATCTTGAAGGTCTTTTCCAAACTTGGTGATTCTGTGATTCTGTGCAATGGCCACAGCCTATTATGAATTCCATCATGCAGAAATTAAGTTCTTAAATCTGGATTTTTCACAAAGCATTTTGTTATTGGCAATGGAACTGAAAAAAAACCAAAAAACAGCAACAACAAAAAACTGAAAAAAATGAAAGAAAACTTTAGGTCTGACGCATGTAAAGGAAGAATAATACTTGGATGATGATTGTCAATTTTGTATTTTCAATCGTGTTTTGTTTTCCCACCAATCTGGAAAAATAAAATAAAATCAGGAATCCATGCAAGGAAGCTCTGATGAGACAGCAAACAGCGGTGAGGATGGCAGTAGTGGCCCTGGTAGTAGCAGTGGCCACAGTGATGGATCCAGTAATGAGGCCAACTCCAGTCATGCAAGTCAGTCTGCTGAAAGCCCTGGCAGCGAAGTGCAGTCTGAAGACATTGCAGATATTGAAGCTCTCAAAGAGGAGGAGGATGAAGAAGAAGAGGATAGGAATCATAATCCCCAGAAAAACAGTAGGAGCACAGATATACGAAGCAGGAAACTGGAATCACAAACAGACATTTGTCTGGGAGATTCACAGGGGGCATCGGAGAGGAGCAGTACAAATAACGGGACAGGAAAGGACCATGTTTTTAATGCTGACTCTGTAACTCCTGTGGATAATCGAATTAGAATACTGGATGCCTGTTCCCATGCTGAGGATGCAGACCATGACATGACAGGGGAAATGAGCACTGCTCGCATTTCGCAAGGGTCTCAAGATTCTTGTATAACACATACAGGAGACTTCCTTGGAGAAACTATTGGAAATGAATTATTTAACTGTCGACAGTTCATTGGTCCCCAGCATCACCACCATCATCACCATCACCATCATCATCATGACGGGTAGGTAGCTTGACATTTCTCCTGATTTCTCCACTAAAAGAAATAAAGATGTTGGCAAAATATTCAAATCAGAAATTTGAATGGTTGTTTTGCTATACTCCAGGATAATTTTGTTTGCCAGGAGTGGTACTTATCACAGATAGTTATATAGTAGTCTGTTTTGTTAATGTGACTAGTTTTTTATCAAGTCTTTGTATTAAATAAGTAGAGTAATATTGAATATCATGTTGAAGTTGTTCTGTAGAATGCTGTTATTTAACTAAAATTAAAGAAGCCAACAGAGTCATGATGATGGAGAGACCTTTAATTTGTTCCTCAAATTTAGTTGTTTCTCAAATTTATATGAAAGTCTGTTATTCAGATGATTCAGCCTGATGTTGGCTGTAGAGAGATAACAGTTCACTTAAATTACTTCAGTTGTGTATTGCAGTACATGTATAAGCTATGTATTGTATAAGTTGATCACATAGTAATGCTTCAGTTTTCTTCCAGAAGATGATTTAACTCTCATGTGGTTAGTCTGCTGTGAAGAACTTACTTGATATTGTCAGTTCTAATGTTCCTCTTATACAGGCATATGGTTGATGATATGCTCAGTGCAGATGATGTCAGTTGCAGTAGTTCTCAAGTCAGTGCAAAATCAGAGAAAAATATGGCTGACTTTGATGGGGAAGAATCTGGCTGTGAAGAAGAGCTTGTACAGATTAATTCACACGCAGAGCTAACATCTCATCTTCAGCAGCATCTTCCCAACCTGGCCTCTATCTATCATGAACATCTTAGTCAAGGTAAGAGTAATAAAAAAAAGAAACAAAACTTCCAGCTCAGTTTTGTATAATTTCAAATTAGTCTCCAATAAATTTAATATTTAAATTGTTTTAAACATACATGTGTGTTACTGTGTATAAAAAAGTAGTTTTCCAAAGAAAACAGTTTCTTCTTAAATTCATTTTTGTATCGTGTTAGATACAACTGTGTTTAGCTTTTCTTTTTTTTCTTTTTTTCCTTTTTTAAATATCTGCTGGAGCTTTTCATACAAGTTTAAACAAGGGCACTAAGAGGCATGACAGGTTTTATTACAGGAAAGTGCTACTGAAAAGACATTTTTTCCCCTGAAACCTGACTTTTCTTCTGGTGGGTGAATCTTTCCATGATTTTATACATTTATCATCTTAAGTGAATTAACCATGATGGACTCTGAAAGGATAACTTCTGCAAAATGAGTTAAAATACAACTTGCCATCTAGAGGAGCTTTCATGAAAGGGCATTTTATGCTATTTTAGCTTTCACTGGCAAACCTTTTACTGTTCTTCATGGTGTAGTTTCAGATGCCATTTAAGCAGCTTTGCAAGAACTGTGTTATCTTTACATATGCTTTTGTGGCAGCTTTTTTTATTGTTTTATCCACCTCTTAAACATAATGGAGAAGGATATGGTTAGTGAAGGGTTTGAAATCTTCTGCTGTTTTTCACTGGTTCGGCAGAACCAAGTCTGCTTTCTTCCAGCAGTCAGGAAGAGCTGTACTGTTTGTGTATTTTCCTGAAACATGGTTGAGTGTTTCTTCTGTAGGCATAGTATTTCTTGTTATCTGAAACTGAACTAAAATTTTAGACCCTGAAAATTAAGAAAGATACCTGTTTTGGAGTGACATAGTGAGATATGCTGCCAAAACTTCCTAGTTAAAACATGTTCTAAACTGGCAATTTTTTTCCATACATATTGTGCGTTTTACTGAAGATTCAAATTATTATTTGAGCATGAAGTCTTCAGTGCAGGTTATTTCTGACACACAGTTTTTCACATATAATTAACGTTCTACGCACAATCTAAAATTCCAACTTGATTTGCTGTTGAACGGAAATAATATCAAGTAGCAGATAAGTGAATGATGTCAGCTGTGACCACATGCAAGAAAGAAACATCTATCACTGTTTATGAAAATATGACCAGTTTCTAAAATAATAAGCTGTAATACTCTGTCGTATAAAATTTGTTTGTTTTTCTGTTTTTAGTTAGATATAGGATATATCAGTGTGAAAGCAATTTGTTGAAATGTGCTGCTTTTTTTTTTTTGCTTTCCAACAATAGTAGTTTAAAAGATGCCTTCTGTTAGTGCACAGGCTACAGAAAAGCTTAAGAAATGTATGAACTAAATCTAATTAAATTAATTGAATCTAATTAAATGAAAAAGGAGATGCACCTGTATCTGCTAAGTAGTGTTTTTGTTGTACATGCACTATTTTGTTGCATGTAAAAATTATCTTAACTGCCCTGCTGACTTCTTGCGCTGTCATGATGTTTTGTCTTCTAAGAAATCATATGACAAAAAAGGCTGTGATTGTTATGTTGCTGTATGGATTTGAAAATAGCCAAATGTACAAATAAAGCATGTTGTTCATGCACCGAGGGAATAATGTTTAGATAGTTCCTTCTAGTTGTTCAGTAATGGTCTTTATATTTTGTTCAGGACCAGCAGTTCATAAACATCAATATAATAGCAGTGCAGTGACGGACATTAATTTGGATAATGTTTGTAAGAAAGGAAATACCCTTTTGTGGGATCTGGTCCAGGATGAAGATGCAGTAAGTTGAATACCAGAAAAGAGTACTTTTTTAAAGAAAATAGATATATGTTATTCAGTGACCTTTCTTTCTACTTGCTGTAGATTCATCTTTCGGAAGGGTTAATAAATGAAGCAGAGAAGCTGCTCTGTTCTTTAGTATGCTGGTTCACTGACAGACAGATTCGAATGAGATTTATTGAAGGCTGCTTAGAAAATTTAGCAAACAACAGGTAACTGAAATTATTTTTTTTACATTTATATATTTTTTTTCAACATATGTGGGAAATCCAAGTTGAATATATCAGTTACTTAATTTTGCAGGAAGGCAAGTTGAAACAGAAGTGGAAATATAAATGTATTTTTTCTAAAGTGCTACAAATAAGTCTAATGTCCCATTTTCCTATTCTGTCAGCATCCTGAATTTCTCAATTCTTGCATTTGTCTATTCTCCCTTCTAGCAGAGGTCACTGCCTTTCTACCAATTGGTAAAATCAAGTCCACATCTTAAGCAGTTGAGTACAAAGTCAGATGCCTTAGTGTAAGCATTTGGAACTGAATATTTAAATTTTTGCATTTAAGTGACTGGTGAGCAGACAAGATTTTATACACCAAGTCTGTTATGGGATTTAATTTCTGTGAAGAAGCAGCTAGAGGATGAAGATGTACCTTGGCCTTAATTCTTTTAATACCAGCCAGAATTGTAAGATTGTACGGATAGACTGGCAAAAGGGTAATTCTGTTGATTCTGTTAGTTAGCTGCTGGATAAGCACCTGCAGCGTTTCTTGTTACCTTTTCTCTAAGAACTGTGTTTGTGAGATAATATACAAGTATACGGAGATACTAATAGCCTTGTGAAGATATGAATTACAGGCATGAAAGTTGACATCTACATACTGTTTATGCACTTCCTGAGTTTTTGCAGACAGCAGTCCTAAAGTACACACCATTGTTAATCTGCTTCGACCTTTTAAGGGAGATTGATTTCTACTCCTTCATCTGTTTGTAGAAAAGTATTCATTTTGCTGAAATTTTCAAACATATATATTATGAAACTCAAAAATAAGAATTTACCTTCTGAAATTCAGATACAGAATAAGTGTTTTATGTCAATACTTCTCTGACAGCTCTTTGTGTAAGGTATGATACATAAACAATTTGAAGTTCAGATACAGAAAACTGGGAAAACTTCATGCTGGTATTTTCAAATACTTTCAGTTAGGAAACAGGAGTTTCACAAAGTAATTCTAATGCTACTTTAATTCCATAACAGCCATATTAGAGTCATTCTTTCTCTCTCCTTTAGATCAGTAGTAGTTTCACTTCGTCTTCTTCCAAAGTTATTTGGTACGTTTCAGCAGTTTGGGAGCAGTTACGATACACACTGGATAACAATGTGAGTAGATTCCCTACAAACACACTAAAACAACAGAAGCAATAGCATTTAGGTAGCTGCTTTGAGGCTTGCTCTTCTAGTTGGTCCAAATTAGTAATGACCTAAGATGAAAATGTGTCAGATATCTGGCATAGCTGTATAAATTTGTCTAATCAGGTCTAGTTTTATTCCTCATAAGTTCCGCTGTTTCAAGTAAGATGAAGACTAATTTATTTATTCATTTTACTATTTTCCCCCAAGCTCAGTCAAAATCTTGTCTGGACATACAGTAACAGTGTATGTAAAATGTTGTAGTAACTTGATGAGCATGATGAGCCCTTGAATCCCTCAGGGGCAGAGAGGTCTTGACAGAATAAAGGACTGGGCAGTCACCAGCCACATGAAGTCTTATTCTGCATCTGGGACAGGATCGTTCTGAATGTGCATGCACACTGGGGGATGAGAGGCTGGAGAGCAGTCCTGCAGAAAGGGATCTGGGGGTTACAGTTGATGGCAAGTTGAATGTGAGTCACAATGACTTCCCATACCCTGGGGGGCACCAGGCCCAGCACTGCCAGCCAGATGAGTGGAGGAGCTGTCACCTCTGCTCTGTGCTGGATGGCCTTACCTCCAGCACTGTGTGCAGGTTTGGGCACACAGAGCAGAGCAGGCTGAGGGGAGGTCTCAGGGCAGCTGCAGCTCCTACAGGGAGCAGAAGGGAAGGTGAAGGAAAGGCTCTGCTTCAGGGGGCAGGGGAATGGAACAGGCCCCAGGGCAATGGGCACAGCCCTGAGCTGCTGGAGCTCAGGAGCATCGGGAGAAGGTTCTCATGTGTAGGGTTTGGGTTTTAACTGGTGCTGTGTGGAGCCAGGAGTTGAACTCAGTGATTCATCCTTGTAGGTCCTTTCCAAATTAAGGATATTCTATGAATGTATGGTTCTGTTGTGATTGTATATCAAATGCTTCTGAATATTAAAGTGGTTTGTAAGAAGGTCTTTGAAGTGTGAAAGTATGTCATGTAGCATTCCTTATTAGGACAAACAGCTAGTCCAATTATTGAGAATGACTGGATAATACTACTCCTTCTATCAGCATTATTTCTTGGTATTTTTGACATGGCATTGAAATATCTGTCCAGTTCTGGTTTTTGGCTTAGACTTCTGCTGAATACGGGCCTTCAGGAACAGTTTAGGAACAAGGGCTGAAAAGAGGACAAGGAAGAAGGACTGTATTCTGTCAAGCCTGTGTCTGACCTCAATAACTTTGTTATGGAGCTTTATGGATGAGAAGGAAAAATAGAGTGCTTTAGTGAAAAAAAATTTTTAATTGACGGTAGATGGAGAATGCAAAATTAAATTTGTTCTTGTGTATGTGCATGTTTTTGAAAAGCTGTCTATTTTCTGTAGCTATTCTGGTAATTTTTAGCAGGCCGTAACGCTTTCTGCCCTCTAAATTTACACAGGTGGGCAGAAAAGGAACTTAACATGATGAAACTTTTCTTTGATAATTTGGTACACTACATCCAGGCAGTCAGGGAGGGACGACATAAATATGCATTGTAAGTACACAAATGACTGTGTTTGGTATTTTATGATTTTAAACATTTTTTACTGCTTTTCTTCTGATGTTTTTGAGAACTTTTTTTTTTTTTCTTAAGTAAATAAGAATAAGTATCTAATATCTAGGTATTAGATAGGAAGAAATTCTTTACAGTGAGGATGTAGAGACACTGGCACAGGTTCTCCAGTGAGGTTTGGAATGCCCCCTCCCTGGAAGTATTCAGGGCCGGGCTGGATGGAGCTTTGACATCTAGAGGGAGGTGTCCCTGCTTGTAGCAGGGGCTGGAACTTGATGATGACTAGGTGCCTTCCAGCCAAAACCATTCTATGATTTTGTGATTCTATATTGCATCATTTGTATATGATGCAATGTTATTATGTACATAACCTGGCATGTAAAATTTGCAGGACATATAGAACTGACTAAAACTGTATGAAGCCGAAACTTCTATGATTCAATAGTGACTTTAAAATGCTTAGGCAGGGAAAGATCTATAAAAAATAATTAGATTTAAAATATGTCTTTAAAAAAAACAAAAAAAACCCCAAAAAAACAGCAACTTCTGTCATTTTGTTAGACATGATTTTGATTTTGATTGTTTACTTACAAGTGAAATCAGGATTTTAAAAGTGCAAAGGAATTTAAATGGGTGTCATATTATAAATCTATTCAAATATTTCTATTTTGTTATTGTTAACCTTTACAATAGTTCTTGTGTTTTAACACACTCATCCACACTTTCTAGTGTATATGCTTAAAATTAGGTGTATAAACACGAGTGATAATAACTTCTAGCTTCCAGAGGACTAGACTGTTCCAGTTTTGACAACTTATGTACCGTTATATTGGATATTTCACTAATGAGAAATTAATTCCAAAGCTGTTTGAAAGTGAGGTGAACTGCTTTAAATTCAGGCTAGATAGTACGTTGTTCTACTCCTTTAACTATTAGTTTATAGCTTGTAAATTGAAATAAAGTCAGTATTTTTGTGTAGGTTATAAAAATATTTTTATAAAGCATATGTACTGGATGTAATCAGGGCTTTATTGTGATTGTGTAAATATCAGCTTTTTAAAGCTGCAAAAAAAATTAAGGTAAGCTCCTTCAAGGTGGTAATGATAAAATGATGCATTTTAGTTGGACTGTATGAAAAACGATAGTAAATCAGACAAAAAAAAGAGAATAACATAAAGACATAATAAAAGTCTTAAAACCCCTAGTGTTTCTTGTTTGGTAATGTCTTTAATGGAAGTCTAAGCTGGATGCTACTGGAAGTTCAGAATAGGTTTGTAAGGAAAAAACTATACTTCAGAGGAATATGCATTAGTGGGGAAAAGGTTAGGACAAGCAATTATATGTTGGTAACTAAGTTAAATAACCTATCTTTCTTATACCGTATAAATTTTAGATACAGCCACAGTGCAGAAGTTCAAGTTCGTCTTCAGTTCTTGACTTGTGTGTTTTCAACTCTAGGATCACCAGATCATTTCAGTAAGTATTTTAGCTTACCTTGTCAGAGAAGCACCTTGCAATAAGGCTTGCACACTTCTTAATAGTCATTGATATTTTAAATAAAAATGACATTGTTAAAGGTACACTTCTAAGTAATGTACAATATTGCTTCAAAAGAAGATTTTGTTTCTTTTGCTGATATACAGAACCAACATTAGGATTTAGATTGTCTTGCCGGTCCCCGAGAGCAAGGTGTTTCATTCTCTTACATCTTAGTTTTCTGAATAAAAGGATTATAATAGTTACTGAAATGAGGAGAACATAAGCTGCATTTGTGAGTTTATATTCATGTCCATAGTGTTTTCAGAGGTTTTGTACTGAAGAACACTTTATGTAAGTTGTAATACCAAAAAGAGATTTTTTAATTAATATTTTAGTACTGTCCAAAACATCATGCTCCTTGTAGGATCCTTTGCAAAAGTGGTAATCCGTGTGATAGTGAACATACACTGAAATCTTTTCATTCAATAAGGATAAAACTAAGTTGTTGTTGTTGTTGTGACTGATTTTATTTTTTTGACATTTATTTTTTCTTTGTGTGCCTGATGGAATTAGAATCTGAACATAATTTTTTGTTCTATTAAGCCTTGGAGTCTTACCCTTACTCCTAAACTTGTTCAGCCGTTCTCTTCTTAAGCTCTTGTAAAGTAGTAGCATTTAGTATTGTCTCAGCATCAGCTCTGTATAGGTTGAGTTGATTGTATATTTAGGTGATTCATTTGAATAAATGAGGATCATTTAAGTAGTCTCATAATAGGTAGCAAAGTCAGCATCCATTGCTTGGCTTGTCCCTCTGGTCATTACAATACAGAGTGCAGGAAGGAGTGAGAGTATCTGTAGCCAAGAGAAAATAAAATAAAATACCAATTGTAGTAATACATTTGTTAGTGTATATTGAAAGTATTTTGAGCTCTTTTAATATCACAAGCGTCTATATATGATGTAGGAAAATAAACCTACTTTTTTCCTGACTTTATATGAAATAGTTACAGAGGTACTCTTTCCAGCCACCGGCTCAATACCCAGCTCAAAGCTTGTGTTCAGTAATCATTTATGAACTGAGAAACAACCTGCTAATTAGTAGAAGATACCAGGTCAGCTCATACTATTCAGTGGACTGGTAGAAACTGATGGAATTAATGACTAAAAGGTTTGTCTGATCACCAGCTCTGAAAAGGGAAAACGTATGGTTTCTCATTGGTATGTGGTGCATTTTTCTTCTGTGGTTTCTGGAAACAACTTGTCTTGACAAAACCTGTTTTGATTTTTCTGGCTTTTTTGGGTTTTGTAGAATATTTGGGTGTTTGATTTTTATACTGGAATAGTTGATAATGCTCCCTTGATTTTAGGGTTGAGTTTAGAACAAGTGGACATATTGTGGCACTGCTTAGTTGAAGATTCTGAATGTTACGATGATGCACTACATTGGTTCTTGAATCAAGTACGAAGTAAAGATCAGCATGCTATGGGTATGGAAACTTACAAACATCTTTTCTTGGAAAAGGTACGCAGAGAGTTAATTGCAACCTTGATAATTCTAATGTTTCTTTCCGTATCAGCGCTGTTTAAAATATTGTTAATGGTTACTATGACGTATATATCTTCAGTACTATCAGAGGATCCTACTTGCTATGCAAATGCTTTTTTTTTTCCTAATTGAACAGTAGGTGGGGGGGATTGGCATGAATTGTTTTTGTGCTAATACTTACTGCTGTGCTTCTTCTTAAATAGATTGTGTGTTTTATCTGAAGCTAGGTAGCATTTCTTTTTTTCTTTTTTTTTTTTTTTTTTTTTTTATTTAAAGCCACCAAAAATTATAATTTCCCATGTGATGTACAGGCATCTGACCAAAAACAAGCAGTCAAGATTTTCTCCTCTTTGGGAGGGGCACTTAAATCTCATCCACATATTCACTGAAAATACAAAAATGCTGTAGTAGAGCTAATTGCAGTGGATCCCATTCATTTTAACTGATCTATAGTCTGTTGAAGCAGGTTGTACATTAAATAATGTATTCCAGCTCTTTTTCAGTATTACACAGTTTAAGTTCTACTTTTTGTGACTGTATGATTTTTTTCACTGAAGTTTCATGTGTGCTATCAAGTTGATCTGCTGTTGATACGTTAAGCAACTAATGTTGCAGTAGTGATTCTTGTTCCTTCAGTACTGTTACAGTCCAATTCAGTGATAGAGGAAACGGGATTCTTAACAGTGATTATAGTCAATTACTTATACTGTATATAAAATTCAGTGTCATCTTTAATGATAATACATTTTATTATTTTCCATACTAAAGTGTATTTATTTTATTTAGATGCCACAGCTAAAACCTGAAACTATTAGTATGACTGGACTGAATCTCTTCCAGCATTTGTGCAATTTGGCTCGATTGGCTACTAGTACATATGATGGTGGCTCAAACTCAGAGGTAAGCCTAGATTCTGTTTTTCTTCTTTCTGAGGAAAGGGAAAACTTACTTTGCTTATCCGCAGCTGTACTTATCTTGAGAACATACTGGTTTGAAAACTGTTTATTGGTTTGAAGCATTATGTTACAGTCTGTTATCATCAAGGCAGTATGAATTTCTACATTGAGAGAATCCTGGAACCATCTTTCTCAGAAGTTTCATATTTGAGTGTGTAAAATGTAGGCGTGGAATTGAGAGGCCTGCAATCCTTACCTGTCCTCATGACTTTGGTCATCTTATTTATAGAGAAAAATGTAGGAAGCTATAAAGAAAGTGCAGTTTATCATACTCTTTGCATACCTGAACTGTTAGCTGTTGTGTTTAAAGAATAGGTTTGAAAATTTCACTTGTAAGTAGTAACGTTTAAACTATATGAAAACTTTTACATGAATTAAGCGTATTTCATTCTGTCTACTAATATTTGTTAAAATTTGGCTCAGTTTATGTGTGATGTATTTTGCAGGTTTTTCTTATGTGCTTTTTTTTCACTGTCTTAGAAGTAAGATGATATGTAGGGTATTTTTCTGTGCATTGATTTGATGCAGTGGAGATTAAAATATGTGTTCTCACAATGAATGCTAATAATGGTTGTGGTTTTAAGTCTTCATTTAAATTTACTTCTGCTTGTCAAAAATAAAAAACACTTTTTTGAATTTTAACCAATTATCCTTCAAAGTACAAAAATATTCCTGTCAGTGTTAGGATTTTACAACAGTTGGTATTTAAAGTGATGAGAGGCTGAGCAAAGGAGGTATTTTTAGTATTTGCATCAAGAACAAATAAAACTTCTCATATCAGAAGGGTTAAACTTCCAGTAAAATAATGAGGCAATGTTTTGTTTCTTTCTTTGTTTTCCTTTTGTCCTAACAGTTGTGTGGCATGGACCAGTTCTGGGGTATTGCTCTAAGAGCACAGTCTGGTGATGTCAGTCGAGCAGCTATCCAGTACATCAACTCCTATTATATCAATGGTATGAATTTTCATTTCAAAGTTTGTTTTCTGTTAATATGTTCTAAAGAATATTAATGTTACCCTCTTTATTTTTAATATTAAAATACATGGTCTTAAATATGTGCTTAAATAATTTACTTGGATGTTGATATTACAGGTAAAAATGGGCTTGAAAAAGAGCAGGAATTTATTAGTAAATGTATGGAAAGTCTGATGATAGCTTCTAGTAATCTTGAACAAGACTCTCATTCAAGTCTGACAATTATTGAAAGAGGACTCTTGATGCTAAAGACACATCTGGAAGCTTTTAGGAGAAGGTAAATAGCACCACGTTATATTCGGATGCAGAATTTGTTTCTGTTTCTCTTACAGTAATGATGAATGAGTGATGAGTGATGAATTCATTAATATAAGTAATAGCTTCTTTCTTTTTCTTTGTGTAAAGTAAAGACAATAGTGGATAATGTTTAAAGGTAGAAGATTTAAACAGTTTAAAAAGTTGACCCTTGTCTTTATAAAGAAGTGTGGATGGATGTAGTTTACGTTTACCCATTCCTCGCCCAAAATTGAATAATACTGAGAATATATTGATCATTTCTTCTTATTTTGAACAAACAGAACAAAGGGTCAAGTGTTGCTTGTTTATTGAATGTCTAAGTTAAACAGGTTTTGATAAAAACACCGTGTCAAGTTTTTACTTGCTTCTTAAGGTTTGCGTATCATCTGAGACAGTGGCAGATTGAAGGTACTGGCATCAGCAGTCATTTGAAAGCACTGAGTGACAAACAGTCCCTACCATTAAGAATTGTATGTCAGCCAGCTGGACTTCCTGACAAGGTAGTTAAAAAGCCCTTTCCCAAGTACACCCTACTTTGTTAAATTTTAGTAACTCCATTGTTCACTTCAAAAAGAAAAAAAAATGTATTTAATTTCAGATGACTATAGAAATGTATCCTAGCGATCAAGTGGCAGATCTACGAGCTGAAGTCACGCACTGGTACGAAAATTTGCAGAAAGAGCAGATAAATCAACAAGCACAGCTTCAGGAGTTTGGCCAAAGCAGTCGAAAAGGGGATTTTCCTGGTAAGGTTTAGTACTTATACCTGTGTTTTTTGCCATTTTGAAGGTTCATCCGTTCATAGCTTAAAAGATTACTTTTTTTTTCTTTTCCTTCTTTCCCAGGCATCTCAAGTAAGGAAAGATTATGATACTGATACTGTCTGTAGTTACAGTTAGCATCGCTCTCACTTTTCATTAATAACATTCAGTAATGGCACATATAAGTACTATCTGTTACTTGAAATTGCAAATAAATTGCTGAACTGGCAAAATCCAATATGTCTAATAAATCGAATAGAGTTCCCCTGAGTTTTTTCATTTTCATTGTAGTTATAATTAATCATGTCATTATGTCACTTACAGATTTCTTATATAGTACTTTACTTTGTGATATGTATACCTTTATGACTCTGCATTTGGTTCATAATTTGAATTAATTCAGACTCATAATCGTATTATACCCTTCCTATATGTATTCCAGTCAGTTGTATTTTTCTTAATTCTGTAGTGGTTTTTAATTTGTGATCATTCTGTAATGAATTTGAAATGTTACCTTGTTTCTGAGGTTGTCTGCTTGCAAGCCTGATGAAGAAATTTCCACTTGTTACCTTTCTTTATGTTTTTCTGAGTGAATGAATTTTTTTCTGCATCCTTTAGATGGAGAAGGACATTTTCTGAATCCTCTTGTTTCTGTATATTACAGCATTCTTAGCTGCTGTTGCTGCTCGGAATATTCTTGTTCTTTGAATTACGTAGGTTGCTGTGAAAGTAATGCTTCCTGTTTAATTCCATGGAAACTACAACAGATACTAAAAGTACAATAACACTACTTGATAGAACAAATTCTCAGCTACAAAACACTATTTTTCTGTATAGTTGTCACCATTAACTATGAATTTTTGCCACTGGTCAACAAGAATTTGCATGCCATACTTAGAAAAACATGCACCATGTCGCCACTGCTGAAATGTACCACCCTGTACCTCATGGTGCTCACATACATTGTTTGCTCTCCATTAAACCTTCAGCAAGCGATTAAGAATGTCAGTGGGTGCCATTTCTTCTGCTTGGAGGAATTCGGTGACACATCTTTGCTTCGTACACACTTCTACGTCAGATGCCGTTTTGTCAGACTACGCTTTTGCTGCCATCTGTCACATGGCAATAAAACGAAAGATTGTAGAGAAGGTTCAGCCTCTACCACCATACCATCAACATCCACCTCTGATTTCATGCAGCAACATCGCAAAATAGGAGGCTTTACTTTCAGAGTGGCCCTTCTTTTTCTCCTGAATGTTTTCATGTTTTGTGTATTCGTTGTGAGGAAGTTAAAACGTAGGGCGTATTATCTGAACAAGTTCTGTCCACAGTCATCCTTTTCTTACACTGATGACCACTGGTAAATGTATGAACGTTAGTCTGACTGTGTAGTTTTATGTCTTTAAAAAAAAGTATACATATTTATAAATGTATATTTTAATGAGATGCACTATCAGTGTACCAGACTTCAAACATTAGATATTTTAATTTAATTTCTTCGTGAAGTCTGTCTTTTCAGTCACTTCTTAGAAGCTCTTCTAGCAAAGAGACTGTATTGTTTTCCACCAAGTATTGCCAGGTAGCAGATCTTTTTTTATTTTTGTTCTATGTAGGAGTTCAGAAACTGAAGATTCAGAATAGCAGTCCTACACCAGATGCAGTTTAGTCATTTTAATATATGTACTTTTTAATTTAATAATGTGCTGATATCCATAATTATGTACACTTAACATTTTATGGAATTTGTTTCATTTGCTACTAATTAACATACCATAACTGTGGGAAATTGGAGAACCATAGAGCCAGTGTCCTTTTCTAGTTTTAAAATCCGTAGTAATGTCTCTAAGTAGTCTTGTGATTCATTATCTGGATTGACTGATAAATTGATAGAATCCTGGAATTAGCTACATCTGTTATTAACCAAATTCCTGAAGAAGTACAGTGTAGGGCTGCTCTTCACTTCTCTGGGGGATCAGAGCCTAACACTGGAAAACCAGATTTTAATCCATGAAAAATATATTTGTGTAGTGGAGTTGGTGGTTAGAACTACATAAGTAATCAGAGATGATAAATTCATTTTAAAATGCAAAATTAATTTATATAAATGATAACAAGGTTTCTTGATTTATTGTTTATAGAATCATAGATTGCTTGCACCCAAATTGAAATCTTAATCTTTTAATTGTTCACATTTCTTCAGTGTTTACAATTCTCTGGAGGATGCTCTTGTTTTTTCTGTACTTAAGAAGTACAGAATATCTTCATTTACAATTTAAGTAAGATTAGTTATTGCTTATTTGTTTTTGCTGACTTGATCACAGACACGTAATACGAAGAGATGAGCACAATTATTTCCCAGAATTCTTTTTAGGGAAATGGTGTAACTTACTGCAAATTATGGGAGTCATGTTTTTCATCTGTAGTGTGGACACTTTACTGCAAGATTGGGTTGAGCTCTTACTGAAAATGCTATTTCCAAACACAGGTAGGAAAATGTACTTCAAGAATCTGTTTTTGTAAGGAAATTGCCATGACTTTTTAATGTTAATTGCTGCTGAAGGGTATGCTATTAAAAATGAGTCTTAGCACTATCATTAGAAAACAGAACTGACTCCAAAAATTTGCTGTGTTTTTTGTTTTTGTTTGCTTTTTGTTTTTTTGTTTGTTTGCTTTTTTTTTTTTTTTTTTTTTTAAATATCCTAGGTGGCCTCATGGGACCTGTGAGAATGATCTCATCTGGGCATGAGCTGACAACTGATTATGATGAAAAAACTCTTCATGAATTGGGTTTTAAGGATATGCAGGTATTACAAATGTATAGAAATCAATCACTTAAAGAGGTTGCTTGATACGTTGTTCCCTCTTTGTTACACAGCTGATATATATTGTGGTGATGATGGAAGGTATTTTTTTCTTTGGGAGCATGTATGGTAATTGCTAAGTCACAGTCTGAACCAACGATTGAGCCCCTGGTGAAGGGACACAGCCAGCTCTGGGTGCACAAGTGAAAGCAATTCATCTGTGTGACTAAAACCAGGTTCCTAAGCCTCATTTAAAGGCTGGCTGCCACAAGGGAAGCATCTCTACTTGGAGATTGCTTCCTTTGGAGTATTTGGTGAGCCCTGATCTTTGGATGGGTAATGTTTCTTTAACTGGATTGCAATCGTCATCCTTTTTCGGTAATTTAGACTCAAATGCAATGGAGAGCAACTCAGCAGCCACCTCAGCCAGCTCCTTCAGAACCCTGGGATGCACCCATCCGGCCCATAGACTTGTACACATTCAGTCTCATGAGACAGTTTCAGACTTGCTCTGCCCTTACTGTGGGGGGGGGAGGGGATTTACTGCCCTGATCCCCACCTAGACGTTTAGAGATGCAGTGTTCAGGACGTGAGAAATATTAGAATCCTGGCTGCTAGTGAAGACAGAGGCAAAGAACTCATTCAGTACCTCAGCCTTCTCATCTGTTGAAGCCAACTCTCCTTTTATGTTTTATGTTATGTTATGAGGAGATATACTCGCTTTGGCCTGTGTTTTCTGGCCTATATACCTGTGGAATGCCTTCATATTGTTTTTAATGTCCCTTGCCAAGTTCAGCTCCTTTTATGACAAGATTCCCAAGGGAAGCCAGTTGATGTAATTTCTGAATTTCAGCAACGCTTTCGATGCTGTTTCTCATGGCATCCTTCTACCACAAGACAAAAATAGAACATGGCTGATGAGTCTGGCCCAAAAGGTTATATAAATTGGGTTAAATCAGACTGGCAGCCAGGCACTCAGATTTCTGTGAGGCTCCATTTTAGGCCAGTTCCCTTTAACTTCTCATCAGTGTTGTGGATAGAGGACTTGTGGATGACACTAAATTGAAAGGAGCTGTTGAATCTCTCAAGGGCAGAGAGGCCTTACGGAGAGTACAAGGACAGTGAAGGACAGGAGCAGATCTCTGCTCTCTGGGGGCAGCAACAGGGCCTAAAAGAATGGCATGGAGCTGCACTGGGGAGAATCAGGTTGGGTGTTAGGGAAAGGTTCTTCACCAGAGAGCGGTCGGCCTGGTCACAAGCTGATGGAGTTCAAGGAGTGTTTGTACAGTGCTCTGATATGCAGAATCAAACTATAACCCACGTAAGGTTATAAAGCAGGTATATTTATTATGTCACCAGGTGTGAGGGGAATATCTCCTAACTTGCACACTGAGAAAAGCAATGGTTACATATTTAAAGACATAACGTATACATATTCATTACATTCCAAGAAAATGGGCCAGAATTCCAAGAAATCATTAACATATTGCCTCACTCTCTTGTGCATGTGTCCTAAAAATGTAGTGGGGGTCTCTGGTGGTCATTGAATGAAGGCTAGTAGTTTACCTCGCTCTGAACTTCCAGCCTTTTAAGTGGGGGGTAGCCCAAACCAGCTCGTACTGTGTTGTGTTGAGCTGAGGCATCTGTTTCATTGTCCTATCTTCAACAAAATGGCATCTGTTCCTCTTAGCGTTGTTTGGCAGAGAGTTTCCACAGACTCTCTGCCTTCTATGCTGGAGCTTATGTCTACTCAGGCATCTAGTCCTTCAGTTTGTATCTGTCAAGTTTTGGGAAACGTCTGTTTCTCACAATATGGGAAAGCTGTTCTCTTGATTCAGCTTTCAGACATAGGGTTTGGGTGGTTCTTTGTATTACCAGGATCTGAACCTGATGATCCTTGTGTGTCCTTTCCAACTCAGAATAGTCTATAATTTTGTAATATAGTTTGAGTCTGTGCGTGATCAATATATGGAGGTGGTAGCTGGTCAACAGGAACATTTCATCTGGAGGAGGCTTTCTTGAGTGTGATTATGCGTTTAGAACTAATCTCAGTTTTTCTAGAAACAGTTCTGTTTGTGCAGCTAAACTCTGGCTAACGTTTGTCTGCTCATTTGAGACAATTTATTTTCTTTTTCTTCTGGTTTAGTTTTTATTAGCGTACTTGTCAAGTAGGATTGGTACCGATCTTGTCATCCTGACTACAAAAGTAAGGGATAAGAACCACCTGTTCTTGCAACAGGAAGCAGAGTACACTACTGTACTGTAAGTGCCTTAAGTGAAAGCAGAACCACGCTTTACTTATCACAGAATCACTGAATGGACTGGGTTGAAAGGGACCTCAAGGATCGTGATTCTCCAGTCCCTCTGCCATAGGGAGGACCACCAACCTCCACATTTAATGCTAGACCAGGCTGCCCAGGGCCCCATCCAACCTGGCCTTCAGCACGTCCAGGGATGGGGCATCTGTAGCCTCCCTGGGCAGCTGTTCCAGCACCTCACCACTCTCATAGTAAAGAACTTCCCCCTGACATCCAACCTAAATCTTCCCTCCTTCAACTTAAAATCACTTCCCCTTGTCCTGCAGTTATCTCCCCTTTCAAAGAGTTGACTCCCCTCCTGTTTGTAGGCTCCCTTTAGGTACTGAAAGGCTGCAATGAGGTCACCCTGCAGCCTTCTTTTCTCCAGGCTGAACAAACCCAGCTCTCTCAGCCTGTCTTTGTAGGGGAGGTGCTCCAGCATTCTGATCGTATTTGTGGCTCTCCTCTGGACCCTCTCCAACAGCTCTTTGTCTTTCTTGTATTGGGGGCCTCAGATCTGGATGCAGTACTCCAGATGGGGTCTTGCAAGAGCAGACTAGAGGGGGACAATCACCTCCCTGTCCCTGCTGGCCACCCATTTTCTGAAGGAACCCAGGATCTCATTTGCTTTCTGAGCTGCAAGAGCACACTGCTGGTTCATGTTCAGTTTTTCATCAATCAGAACCCCAGGTCCTTCTCTGCAAGGCTGTTCTCAGGGGTTTCTCCTTCAGGTCTGTATATATGCCTGGGATTTTTCTGGCCCAGGTGCCAAACCTTGCACTTTGCCTTTTTGAACTTCATTAGGTTCATCCACGCCCGCCTTTCAAACCTGCTGAGGTCCCTCTGAATGGCATCCCTTCCTTCCACTGCATCAACCGCACCACTCAGCTTGGTGTCATCAGTAAGCTTGCTGAGGGTGCACTCGATTCCATCTCTGTGTCATTGATAAAGATGTTAAAGAGTACTTACAGCAGGTGCTGATAAGTCTTTGATGCTAAGGATATTGATGTATCTTAATGTTAAGTTCCTAATTCTGATGCTGTGTATGCATTTTGAAGTTGTTTCTTGCTGTTTCTAGATGGTATTTGTATCCCTGGGAGCACCAAGGAGAGAACGTAAAGGTGATGGTGTTCAGCTTCCAGCATCTTGCCTACCTCCTCCTCAAAAGGACAACATTCCAATGCTTTTACTCTTGCAAGAGCCTCATCTTACCACACTTTTTGATCTGTTGGAGATGCTAGCCTCCTTTAAACCTCCTTCTGGAGAAACATGTATGGAAGACAGTGAGGTAATTTAGAGCAATTTTTTAATAATATTTGCATTTAAGTCTTATTTAGTGGATCCAGTTTTCCTATCAATCATATTTCTTGTCTCCTGTATGCTTGTCATACATAGTTATTGTATTTTGATGTTTTTGCAATTTCACATGTTAAGCTCGCTATTATTGGTTTTCATATTTTTCCTAATATTTTTTAAAGTGTCCTGTGTACTGGAGACACTCTGAAAATAATAACAATAGGCAAAATTAAGCACAATTAAAAATAGTAAGAACAATAAGAACAAATATTGATTAATTAGTTTTTGTGTCTAAACATGGAAATTGGCTTGAAGGAAGGTTAGTGCAGTCCTATTACAAAACCTAAAATTTTGTGTTTTACATGCCATCACCAGCTTGTGTGAAATGAAATAACCATTAGTATATTCAAACTGGTAGTCTGTTTTTCAATTTTATTTGTACTCAAGTATCTCACAATATACGGCATGGTGTCAAGATAATGCAACTTAAATTTTCACTCGTGTTAGTGAGATTTCAGCTTCTCTGATCGATTAGTGAATTTACATTACATAGAAAAGAGATAACTTTTTAATTAAGAAAAAAATACTTTTTGGACTTTGAAATTTTAGTTAAGGCCATTTTCACAAGTAATTT